AATTATTTTTTAACCAAAAAAAAAAATTATTGGGATAGAAAGAGTAATGTGTGTATATATATATTGGATTTGTTGTTTTACTACTCCTAATTTCGAGGTTAGGTGTAATGGTTAAAGAAATTGGTTATTTTCCTTAACTTTCCGAGTTTAAATCTTTAGACCAACATTCCAAATAATATATGCTCTTGCAAAACCGTCTACTTGTTATGGAATCCTTGCATGGCAAATCGATCTTTTTATAAGATAGTTTTGTCCTCGAGCCTTTTAATTTTTTCATAATAACGGCTTAGCGTCTTTCAACTGACTCGAAGTAATTTAAAAAGATTTTTTTGTCTCCACGGTGATCGATGACTAGAAAGGCTTTGAATAAAGGAAAAGTTGGACGAGGATTCTTTTAAATACACAAGATCAATACAAACTATGCATCCTTAAAATAGTTGAAAATAAAAATTGACATAATATTGATTGAGAAACAAATTGGTTCAAAGATATTTAAACGGTAGAAAAAAAAATTATGCTTGCTCTACAAATAATAATCGTGTAGTGCAACGCAAATCCCGCTAGTTCAATATGCTAAAGATAACCTTGGTCTTTTAAACAAGAAGTTATTATCCACAACAATGCACAAAAGCATGAATTTCCGAAAAACTCTTAATTGACTATTTTATTCTAAATATAATAATATTATTAGAACATATCTCCAATGCTAATATGTAAATTGCACCTCACCTCTAATCGAGAAAAAAATAAAAATAAAAATCCAGTATTGAAGAAATTCTAATTTTTTTTAATTAAAACCTAAAAATAGGTCAATCCCGTTTTTACATTGTTTGTTTACTTATTGACCATATAAAACCCTAAATAACATGGAATAAGGTTCATAAATAACCCCTAAGCTATATAGTGCATTACTAGCACTTTATTTTTCCAATAAAAGCTCTAGAGATGCTTAAAAAGAAGCCAGAAAACCAATAATATTAAAATCCGAAAATAATAAAATTACATCAAATCTAATCAAAATATCAAATCGGATCCTTATTTTTTTATAATATTTTTTTTTGTATTATATTAATATTTACTCATTTAGAAAAAATGATCTACAGAATATGTATTTTTTATTTCGATTTTTTTTGCTAATTAAAAAAAAATCTTTATTACCTATACTATTAAGTTATATTCACATTACATGTAATTAAAAACAAATCTTTTCAATAAAAAGTTTAATTTTGATGCCATGTTATTTTACTAATTAAAAGTTAATAGGATCCTGGAAAAAAAATTTGTTCGTCTAATGCAGGTTACATTTCCATACCACATAAATATATTTTATTTGAATAAATAATACCTTTCAACAAAACGATCTAGAAAGATTATTTTAATGATAGTATTTAATCATAGCTGAAAAATACACGACAGTCTCATAAAAATAAGGAGAAAGTATAGATAAGTTCATTCTTAAGAGTTAAATAACCAATAAACTCAATGATATTTTTGCTAAACCAATAAATTCAGTTTTCAATTGTTTCTTCCAAATAAATTCATGTCTTCTTATATTTTCCTACAAAATCCTTACAATACGTTTGAAATTTTGTCATTTATCCTTTTTTTCTCAGAGAATACTTTACAACGAGTTTTTTATTTTGTAATTTTTTAATGGTTTTTTTTCCTAAAACATTTAAATTAAAACTTAAAGATTTATAATTGTATAATCTCATTCTTGTTAATTACTATAATTCTCAGAAAAGGTTTAAGGCACGCCATTATCCTATTAATAATTAAACTTTTTTTTTTAGAAAAACAAGATTTACAAATATCAAGAATTATATTCTTTGTTTTACTATATTAACTTGATTTGAATATACTTAAGATATAAAATAATGATAGTATGTGGAAATAAGATACAATCATAAACTATTTTGCAACTGAGAGAAATTGGATATTCAAAACAATTATTATGATTTTTTAAGAAAAGAAAAAAGAAAATAAATGGATAAGTTTTTCAAGTACAGGAAGAGAGTGATATAGGTAGAACAATCAAATATGAACTTCTTGGATAAAATATAAAAGTGAACTTATTGGTTTTAAAAGATCCACGTAGAACTTATTGATAATTTGCTTTTCCAAAAATGAACTTATGTGTACTTTTCCCTAATATTCAAGCTAAGATATTAGCATCAAATGTGTAATAATTTATAAAGTTTTATTTCTCAAATTATTTGCAAGATTTTTCAACTATAGATATTTATATACTAAATAAATGTGATTATTTATTATCATATCTGTATATGTAATTAAATTTATTTATATATAAAAGATTCCAAAACAAATAGTTTGGTCATCCTTATTTTTATCATATAATTAAACTAACTTAAGTTTTAAAACTAAATGAAAGAAAATAATTTTTAAATTAAAATGACTATCCATATACATTATAATGAATTAATAATGAAAGTCTTTTTTCTAGTTTTTTCAAGAAAGATATATAATGTTTTTATTACGACATATGAATAAGCAAAATATATTTATGATTTCAAACTATGCTGGTAAACACATTTGTGTAAATTTTTTAGTGATTATTTTTTTTACAGATCTAACTATAAATGATCACACACATGCTTGCAACACACACGCACAGTCTATTATTCAAGGCAATTGATTGTATTAGTTAGATTAACTTTCTCAGTTGATTAATTGACTACATGAGTAAAGCCCATTGGAAGGGTTTTTGTGTAAAAAATATCACAGATATAGTACTTATTCAGGATTTTTTTTTTGGCATGCATTATGTTATTTTATGTCATTATGAACTAGTAAAATTTTCTTTTTAATAAGAAATAGAGTGCAAAGGGCCCATTATAACTAAACTTTTAGCAAATGAATACGGAAATTTTTTTTCAGGATATTTATTTTTTCAATAAATATCTACTAATATCTTATAATTAATTAACTTAATTTGAAAGATTGGTGTGGTGGTTCAAAATATATGCTTCTCTATTGACCTTTTAGATTCAAATCATTTAACCATGCAGTTAGCATATAGAGAAGATTATTAAGTTTCTCTTATTGTTCCAGAAGGAATTTAGTCATGATTGATATGCAAGTTGACTTCAAGGCACCCTTATAGTTGAAATAATAATAATAATAATAATAATAAAGAAGGGAACTAGCCAATCTGTCTTTATATAGCAAGACGAGTTTTAATACGTTATTGTATTTTTAATTGAATTAATTTTATATTTATAATATAACCGAGTTTTCAATCTACAATCTATTATTCTTTTTTTAACATATCAGTTATGCAAATAACTTAATATTATATTGAAATAATTATTATTAAAAAATCATCTCAATCTCAAAATTTAAACTACTAAACGAGATCTTAAAAATAATTTTATATTACTTTTTTAACACACTCTTTCAAGTGATAAAGTGATAGTTTTTTGAGTTTAAAGTTTACACATGTCTATTATTATTTTGTGCTTGATTAGACAAGAAAGTAAGGATGATGGAATTTAAATTTATGATGATTTGATTATCAAAGTTTTAATATCATATTAAATGATCATTTCAATCAAAAAATTTAAATTATTAGTTGACGCATCAAAAATAATTTTATATTATTCTTTAATAATTATGAGTTTTATGAAATTATCAATCACGTGCAAAGTACATAATAAATAAATAAAAATTTTAAAACAAAGATTCAATGCAAGACCAAATCTTTTTTCCTCTCCAAAATCTCCCACTCCTCTCTCTAGTGATCTCTTCTTTCTCCATCGATATGGCCATTTTAATATAATATTAAATCATGTCCATGAGTGATTATGTCAATTTATATTAAAAAATTAGTATAATGATAAATTAGAAATTCAATCATTTTATAAAAATAAAATTAGCTATATTGAAGAAATAAAGATAGAGTAGAAACTCAAATCATTGTTCAAGAATAAACTGTACTATTTTCCTTGAAAAGAAAAATAAAAAATCGTTAGTGAAACCAGCATATCGTAACGTGTAATTATTAGGAATGCACCTTTCAGGCTATTAAAAGGCTCCTGAAAAGGGGTTGGAGGTTCCATTCCTTTTGGACAAGTTAAAGAACACCCAAATGCCGGCTCTCCTAGGATGATGTGCATGTGGTCGTTCATGTTTTTGGGTCCATTGGCCCTCTAATGGCCTAAATAATGACAACAATTATATTTATGGTAATGGTGAAAACAGAAAATAAAAAATAAATAAAAATCATGGAACTTCCAATCATCATTTTTTTTTTTGTTAAAGAAAGGGCTACAAACTTTAAGCTATATCATAGAGGTATCCAAGGTATTCTTCATTTATTCCACAATTATAACTTAAAAAATTACTTAATTTTGCTTTATTAAAAGAAATTATTGAATATACAAAAGTTAGACTAAACTTTCTTGTATAAAATATCTACTTGGTAATGGTTTTTGCTTTTTTGTTTTTTTTTTATTCATAAATTGGAATAGATAAATAGACATATAATTGGTAAATAATAAAATATTTATTTATTATATTTAATGTGTGATAAAAATAACAATATATAATTTAACTACTTACTATCTGTTTTTTTCTCACCTAATTTAAATTATCAAATTGAAAAATTAGTAATGAAATTTGAAATATAATTAGGGACATTCCATCAAAAGATAAAAGAAGATCCAAATTTGTTAAATACACACGGACGAGATCATCCTCTTGAAATTAATAAATTAGTGTATGGATGAATTTGTTTGTAAAATATGATTATTAGCAAACAAAAATATGGGCTTAGGATGAAGTTCAACACTTACCCGCCCATTGCCAGTGCCATCTCTAACAATGGATAAACGGGCTTTAAATCATTAATTGACCTGTTCGGGTCGGGTCAAAAGCATTTGCTGCTAGATAGGGGAGAGAGCAAAAACGTTGCCGTTACCTTCATACTATAAGCCGCCAAACGCCGGATTTTCTTGGTTCTCTCACTAAGGCAGTGAAAAATGATGAAGTGTCGATTCCGAGCTTGTTTGTTCCCTTTATTCACCGGTAATAACTTTTCCTTACAAAGCCGTAACGCTGTGTTTTCCTTATTATTTTCAAACGAAGAGAACAGCAATTAGTTACTATTAATTGAATTCATTTTTCCAGGAGAACACGGCTTAATTTCTCTGACAACCAACTCCGATTTGCTTAACAGGTCACATATCGAAACTCATTTCTACAGGATGATGCTCTTTGGTTATAGTGTTACTAAACCCAGTCATTCCATGAGGGTTTTAGCTTTCAGTTGTTTAATAATCCGTGTATTAGAATTTGTGTACCTTTGTCGTGTTTGTTGGTTCAGTTTCAGTGGTGGTTTAAGATAACAAATGCAAATTGATGGGAAAAAAATTTATCAGGAACTAGCCAAACTTTGTTTTGATTAGGGCATTTAATGTAGATTCTGGTTAAGTGCAAAATGACCATTGTATCTGAATTGGGACATGACTAGTGATGCTGGACAGCTTAGGTGCTGTTTAGGGGTGTTTAGGGTTGTATTAAAGTAGGTTTCTGCTGGAATATAAGTATGTGGTTTGAATTCTAGGAGTCACACCTAGACGATAGAAGAACCTAAGCTTCACAGCTAAGATTCTTAGGAGTCACACCTAAGGGAGATCGAGTCACACAATCAAAAGCAATTTGCTGGAAATTATTTGATATTATTGCATGCTGAATATTGAAAGACTACATGCTGAATTTATAGAGCTGTAGAAGTTCAAATCCAATTAGGATAAGGATTACTAGACATCTGACATAATTATTCCTAACTAGAATAGGAAAACCTATAGCTATTCATCTTTTAGAATAGGAAAACTTAATAACTTCAGGACTAATAAAATACTTAAACAAAAATACGATAATTTCAGATTTTCTAGCAGATCTGAAATTACTAAAATATGGTTATCAATTATTCAAGTTTTTCTTCCTTTTTTGTCTACATCAACTAGCCAGCTGAATCGCGACTCAAGAGATTTTGGAAAATAATAAAAAAAATCATGTTTTGTAGGTTGAAACAGTTTGGTTTTTTATATCATGGTCGTTGTGTGATGGCAAATGTCGAACGCAAGTACTTAATCAAGCAGTAGGTTGGATAATGGAAAATTCATGTGATCTTAGTAATAACCTGCGTCTTCTTCCAAACATTTGTATCTGCCAGTACCTTGCAATTTTTTAGGAGCTCAACCGTGCAGCAGATTGCTGGGCATGAATTTCTGCATGGTCTGTTAATAAGATAGTTCACTTGAGAGAAGTAACTATGGTCTGTGGTTGGTAGATGTTTTGCTGCACGACCATTCACCAATTTCCAGTTAAAGGGGATTGGAAGGCTGAATCAGTCTTTACACAGCTGTGCTGATGAAGAGGATGATTTCTCAGAGTTAGGCCCCTCTGTGGAAAAAAGTGTAGGTGCATTGCCAATATTGATGACAGCAAAACGTGAACCATTAAAGGTATGTTTCCTTCTGAACTCCCTCTCTCTATTTGTCCTGGATTGAATAATTTCAAGTGTGACTTGAGTTGAGCTTAAATCTTCATTTCAAGCAGAAAAGTGTCAGAACCAAAAAGCTTCACCTTTGGCACCAGAAAGCATCAAGAAGTTGAAAGATATATTCTTGAAACAGACTAACGGAATTTCAGCTCCACGTCTCAAACCTGAGAACAACACCAACGCCTTTTGCCCTAATCTTGCTAAAAAGAATGCATCTAACTTGAAAAGTTCAACCTCAGTTACTATTGAGAATGTACCTTCTATTATCCAACTTCACCAGTTGAAAAAGGCAGTGTCAATTTTTGGGGAGATCTCAATTGCTTCCATGAGGATAGTGCCAAATGGACTCGACTGTTGTGATATTGAATTTGAGGTAGCTAATGAAACGTAATATGATTCTAATGCCCATCCTGTTTCTCATTCACTTCTCTTCTTTTATATATGAATGTTTGACAAGGTTTTTTATTTTATTTTTTACAATTTTGAAGAGCGTGAAATCAAGGAATAGAGCACTATCAGATGGTTGGATAACAGTGAAGAAGTTCAACCTTCCAATTCATCCTTTACATGTCCTAGATATTGTTTCAATACGAATTAGTAACATTAGCTCAGAAACTGACGATTCTTCGATATGTTCATTGTGCATGTCATGTGGTCCTTTGGAGGGAATGGTGAGGTGCAAAGATGTCGTGGATGCCTCATTTAGCATGAAAGACAAATCAGACACACTGATGATACTAAAAAAGTAAGAAACGCTTACCTTCATGAAGATATAGCTGTGTTTGCTGTTTTGCTTGTTATATATACTGCATACGGTATTTCCCCACTCTTTTACTGCAGAAAAGGAAGGAGAATGAGAATGCTATAAATTTTTTGGCATGTTGTCCCTTTTTTAATTGGCTGAAGCTGAAGTTATCATAAGCATTTATCCTTTCTTTCATGGTCCTCCAATAATTTCTCAAGTTTTCCCTTTTTTTGCATCTATTTTTTTTCTTGATATCCCAATGGTAAAGAGAAAAGCATTTAGATGATGCTGATACCTTTTTCGGTTTCTGCATCTACCAAACTGTTATTGTATAATGGTCTTAAGAAGTTTTGCCGTGTCAAAATGTGGATTTCAAAGGCAATATTTAGAAATTGATTATTCCAGGAACTATAATTTTGATATCTTGACTTTGCTGAAATTGTAACTAATGCAAGACCGAGATAGGTGCCTGCATTGTTTTCTCAAACTGCAAAACATTCTAATTTCTTAATTTTCCGAGTCAGAATATTAGGAAGAAATTATGGTAATATATTTTGTGATGTAACTTGTTAGACCTCTCATGATTCTGTGAAAGAGAGTTAAGAAGGGTTGGATTATCCCTGTGTGGTGAATTTTCATGCTTCAAGTGAAATCGTGGGTTTTCACAGTTTTGAGCCTCTAGGCCCAAGGACAGATTTCCATGCAAGAGAAGAGGCCGATTGCCTCCCTTAATTTTTGCCAAAAAATTCATAACAGCCCTTATTGGTTTTAGTTCAAATTTGACCCCCTTTATAAGACATTTGCTCCCATATTTCTTGAAACTTGTGCACCAGCCCTTAGCATATCTTCTATATAGTGGGTTTTTAATTTTTAATTTTTAATTTTTATAGTGTATGAAATTACGTTTAAATGGACTATTTTGTGAATTTTGTAATTAAATTTATGATCTTATAATTTTGTTTTATTGCTTTCTGGAGTAATACTAATTATGTAATAGTACTTATAGAAACAGTCATTTTGCTCTGTTCCCTTTACATAAGAATCCTAGCTTCATCCCTTACAAGGCATGCCTTGGTATTGGCTTCTTTACCCATGTTAACCCCATGTTTTCGAGTATGTATCCAAATTGGCTTTCCCTACGCATTCAATATTATCAATAAGGAGATTTCCTCCACTCATCGGGTTTCTGTCTGGCGTGTTATGAGAAATTGGCATAGAAATTACTGTTTCAAGTTTACAAATGGAAAGAAACTACTTCGTTCCTTTTGTATTATCTGATTAGGTTTTATAAATTGAGGCCAAATTTTCTTGTATCCTCTGTATGTTATGAAACTGACTTTATCTTAATGGTGTGTGTAAATTATAATCTGTATTAATCAAATAAATTTGTTCTTTTTACGGTTAGGTTGAACCAAATAATTGCGGATGACTGCAACTGGTCAGCTTGTTTGCAAACTGAAATGCCCACATCTGTGGCCATGAACAAGGACAACAATGCTGACTGGCACTTGGGGTTAAAGGTTATCAGTCAAATAGATGAGTTGAAGAGGCAAATTTCAATGACACGAGTGCTTGCAGAAGACCTGGAGCATCTGCATCATGTCGTACTGCACCTTCAAAGTCGGCCAAGCACCAGCAATAAATCTTCCCAACATTAGCTAGAGCTTTAATATTCAGGTCACTCATTTTTCAAAAAGAAAAGAGAGAGACATAGGAAGTTATTGTCAGTTGGAAAGTCATTATTTGAGGGATTTTCTCGAAACAATCTTGAAAGGAATTCTTCGGAGTTATATTATGCGTATCATAGCTTCATTCTCTGGGCAATGTGTGCCTGAGTTGTTTTCAGCTCTTTCGTAACTGCATTGTGCATTGATAACAGAAAGAAACAATTTTGCCATCCATAAAGATTTTATTAACCTGTTGAAGATAGGAGTTTTTTTTTTTTTTTTTTTTGGGTGATTACTTTAACACCTCAGTTGCTTCTTTTAACTTCGAGGAAAATGAGCTGCTGCAATTGAACAGATAGAAATTGCAAAATAAAAGGGATCGTGTGTTATTTGCAATTTTTTTTTTTAGTATTATTTTTATATATATTTAGGTTCTCTAGTGGTCGAATTCTGTAATTTGCAACTTGTCACTCTTCTTTTTTGGTCCCCTGCAAATAAATATACATTTCATATTTATTGAGTAAAATATAAACTAGTCTCTTTTGTCTTGAGAAAAGAATTAATTAGTCCTTTTTATTTTAAAAATTAATTATTCAGTCTTTTGTGTTTTAATTTCATTAATAATTTAGTTCTTTCATCAATTTTTTGTTAGACCATTGATGAAATGTCCTTATTGTAATATATTTTTTTCTCTCAAATTGCTGTTGTTGTTATTATTATTATTTATGCCTTAGTTCTCTCCTCAATTATTTCCATCATCATAATAAAACTCAAACTCACCATCAAGTTTTTCTAAAAACTCTTTCACACTTCACTTTCCCTCTCAACAAACACAATCTACCCCATCAAATCTTTCTAACCCAAACAACAAAAACAATCGCAAGCTATTGACTTTTTGGTCTAAATAGCATACAAGTTGAAACCATTTAAGGAGTTCAAGAGACTTTTATTTTTGGGTTATAAAAAAGAGAAGAGTTGGAGTTCAGTGATTTCTCAAATGAGATTTTGCGAAGAAAGAGTACAAAAAAATGTTGAAGAAGGAAAAAAGCTGCAATTGCTGTCTGAGTCGCAAGAATTAAGTTTATATCTTAAAGATTATTTTATATATTATGTATTGATTTAACGAATTTAGTAAAAACTTAAAAGTGAGAAACTAAATGATTAGTTTTTAAAACAAAATGACTAATTGACTCCAAATTTATTAGGGTGAATTTCAATTTGTCATGAGATTTATATGTTTTCTTAATTTCATCTAAATTTTTTTATTTGTTTCAATTGGACTTTATATCTTTCATTTTTGTTCCAATCACCCACTACATTTTTCATTTTTGTTTCAATTAGTCCCCATATCTTTCACATGTTTTTCAATTTTCTCCCTCTGCTCTTTTTCATCAGGTGTATAAATTTCAATTTCATCCTTAAAGTTTACAAAAAATCTCAATATCATCCAAAAAGTAAAAAATAATGATAAACAATTTGAAGTTAATAAAAGTAGAAAATCAATATAAAATATGATAATATTTGAAAGGGTTAGTTTTTTTAAAAAATCCACAAATTCTACCAACTTCAATTTTTACATAGCAAAACTATCTTATTATTATTATTATTATTATCATATCCAATACTATAGTTAAATGAAAATGAAAATTCAAATTAATTTAAATTTTTTTAAAAAAAATTCATCGAAACTTTCACAATTTTGATCCTTCATACCTCTCATGTCTCCTTGGTTTTTTTTGACATTGTCATCACATAGCACCTTTGATAAGTGCAAATAATCACGTTTAATGTGATGTCAAAATTATTTTATACTCAAACTACCAATCCGTTCATATGAGATTTCATATATATATTCAAGATTTTAATAGAAAATTGGATAAGAAGTTGAGATATGAAATGTTGGTGAGAGAGTGTGTGTGAGACGGTAATATTGGTGATTGATACTTTTTATTTAAAATATTTCTTAGCATGTTCGTTTTTAACTTGATTTTATTACTGTATCGCAAAAAGATAATATTGATGAATTTGTTTTATTAAAAAAATTTAATATTTTTTCCAATTTCAATTTGTTGATTCTTACTTTTTGGGTTATATTGAGATATTCCATAAATTTTATAGACATAATTAAAATTTAGGGATAATTATCATAAAAACCTTCTAAAAAAAATCTTACATCCAAGAAATCCATCAATTTATTTTTGAATCTCTCAAATCCAAAATATTATTTTTCTTATCAAAACACCCAATAGTTAATCTCTAACTTAACACTAGTTAACTATTGGGTCTTTTAGTAAGAATTTTTTTTTTAGGTTTGAGAGATTTAAAAAATAAATTGATGAATTTTTTAGATAGAATTTTTTTTAGAGTTTTTTTTTTTTATTATTTCGTATCTAATAATAAACTCATTTAATAGTTTTTAATGAGTTTGATATTTATTATTATTTTTTCATGATCAAGTCAAGTTCTTTTTTATTGCATTCAAAAGAAAAAAAGTTTTTGAGGTTCCTTGACTTTTAAACACTAACATTCGACTACTATTTCTTTTTATTATACTAAACAATTCCTTACATTAGAGTTTTTTTTTTATTGATCGTTTGTTTCATCAATTACGAGCTTAATTTTACTATCTAGTAACTATAACAACCGAGGCTATTTAACTAATTAATATTAATGAAATGAAACTCTTGTCATTATCTAGTAATTTAATCAAAGAGTTATCATATAAATAAATAAAAAATGTATGATTATGAACATTAGTGATTTCTTAAATCCTAATATATTGATAGGAAAAAAAAATCATTGGTAATACTAGTTTTTAATTAATCAAAACTCAATATTTTTTTATCAAAAAATTAAATTAAATTAAATTAAAAGATGAATGTATAATATATTTTCGTGCATTAATTAAATAAAACATGATCGTCCATGATAGAAATACATATCTTAAAAGATAATAGCTTCATTTAAACTATGGATAATTACCAAAATACCTTTCAAAAAATCTTCAATTTAAAAAATTCACTATTTTATTTTTAAATCTCCCAAGCACAAAATAATGTTTTTAAATATCACAAGCCTAGAATAATATTTTTCTTACTAAAACAACCAATAGTTAACACTACTCGTTAATTATTAGGTGTTTTTAATAAGAAAAATATTATTTTGGATTTGAGTGATTTAAAAATAAATTTGTGGGTTTATTAGATAGAATAATTTTTTATAAGGTTTTTTTAGTAATTATCCCTAAAATTTATATAGAGTAGGATAAAAATAAATGACACAAAGTCTAACTAAAACAAATGAAAGATTTCAAGCAAAATTTAAAAAACACATAAACTTCAATAGGACAAATTGAAATTTATCCTATTTATTGTGAAGCGAAAGGATGTGCAAGCTAGTTGACCAACCATCCTTTCTTTTTAGATTTGGGGTAACTTATCATGGTGAACTTCTGGTAATGTGTCTCAAACTTATTCTGTGTGTGTATATATATTTTTCGAGTAAAGATTATCATAATTTTTTAAGACCAAATATTCAAATAAACTGGTTAAAAAAATATTAATAAATTCACCAATCAAATTGTTATTTCTGCCTTTTTTTAAAAAAATTACTAATACTAACATATGTTAAATAATAGTTATTGGTAATTAACGAAGGATGTATTGATAATTAGATATAAAAATAGTGGGAATAACAATTTGATTGGTAAATTTAGTAAATATTCTTTTAAAAAATATGATAATAGTTGTAGCAATTTAAAAAAAAAAATTCCAGAAGAAATAACTAAATAAGTTCTCTCCCTATTTGTTTCGAAAAGTTGGAAAATAGAAACAAAAATGAAAAAGCAAATGATACACTTTAGTATTTAAGATTAGCCACGCACTGCATGTTTGAATCCAAATCCAAAGTTCATGAAGAGAAAAAAGGAGTAAATTATGAATTAGTCCTCTCATTTCAAGAAATGAATTAAATTGTTTATTTTATTTTAAAAATTAATTATTTATTTTTTATATTTTGAAATCTACTTGTAATTAGTTTTTTTGTCTCATTTTTAATTTAATTTATTTTTTATTTTGAGAAATAGAAAAACATATAAAAATACTGGTGAGAAAATAAAATTTTTTGTAAAATATAAATAATATTAAATTAATTACGATGAATATTGGTTAGAAAATTAAATAATAAGTTTTGAAAAGAAGATGACCAATTAATTTATTTCTTAAAACTAGTGGGACTAATTTATAAGTTGCTCAGCGAAACTTTGACCTTAACTTGAAGCAAAAGCGTACCATTTTCACAATATTTCAACCTATCATATCCTCCCACGTAGTAAAAAAAGGTCACAGGCCAAGAAAGAAGAAGAAAATAAGAGAAGAGGGCTCATCATCTGAGCAAATCAAATCACTACACCTCAGATAGAACACGTTGTAAATAATTGAGGACTCCTCTTCTAGCAACTCTCATTTAAAAATCCTACTGCAGGAATTGGCATATAAATACGATTCTCTCTTATAAGTCGTTTTTAGCCAAGAGCAAAAGAAAAAGCAGAGAAAAAAGAAAAATGGAGAAGTATAATCAGATCTGGTTTGCCTTTGGTACCTTGGCTTTGTTAGCCGTATCAGCTTTAGCAGAAGATGTCGTTGTGTTGACAGAAGATAACTTCGAGAAGGAAGTCGGTCAAGACAGAGGCGCTCTCGTTGAGTTCTACGCTCCTTGGTGAGTATCGTCCTCATTTTGATTAAGCTAAGATTAATCGTTTTTGATACCGATCGTGATTCGTTGTTCCATAGATCTGTTATGATTTGCCAATTTTGATTAATTCGTTGATTTTTTAGTGTGATTAACCATTAGTTTAATTAATCTGTAGATATGAATGGTTAATGAATTTTGACCGGGATCATTTAGAATTTCGGAGCGGACTTGATTGTAATTTTGAATGTCACAGGTGCGGACACTGTAAAAAGCTTGCTCCTGAATACGAGAAGCTTGGAAGTAGCTTTAGGAAGGCAAAGACTGTTTTGATTGGAAAGGTTAGCCTTACTATTATTTGTTGGTCCGTGTTGTTTTTTAATTTTTTTTTTGCGAATTGTTTCCCATGCTAATGCTATTATTCATGTATGGCCAACCCAAATAAGTACTATTATTCATTATTTTATTTATCATTTTTCCTCCATATCTTGTACATTATGTATGGTCAAACCAAATTTCCTGGAAAATCGAAGCTGCCGTTTTTGTTATTGACACCTAACCTTAACTCGTCGATGTGTGTATTGTTGATGATGTGGTGCAGGTGGACTGTGACGAGCATAAGGGTGTATGCAGCAAATATGGGGTTTCTGGATACCCAACTATTCAATGGTTTCCTAAAGGATCGCTCGAACCTAAAAAGTGAGAATATTATCAACTCCATGACTGTTGGACAGAATGTCCAAATTTATTGCCTTACTGAAATGCCATTTTGTGGTATATATACAATAGGTATGAAGGACCACGTACTGCAGAAGCCCTTGCTGAGTATGTCAATAACGAAGGAGGTACCACTTCTAGTCTTTCTTGTAAAGTTGCTTCCTGTTGATTAACCCAGTGAAAAGTTCTTTTTACGGGTTTCTTGCTGTTTGCTTTGACTGCTAAATTTGCTCGACCTGCTTGTACTGTTGTTTTGTTTGAAAAATTTATTCCCCCTTCTCACCTGAGCTTGTATCTGCAAAAACTGGTGTATGCGCTATAATTTTTATCTTAGTGCATCTTTAAGGATTTGTTTTTTCAAAAGCAACACTTCTGTTATCTCATTGTGAGTCTAGTGTGAAAAGGAAAAAACCACCCGAGGTTCCTGATTGGCTATGTTAATTACAGGGACTAATGTGAAGATAGCTGCTGTGCCATCCGCTGTTGTGGTACTAACTGCTGATAATTTTAATGATATTGTCTTGGATGAAACTAAAGATGTTTTGGTTGAGTTTTATGCACCTTGGTAAGCTATATCCTTTTTTATGTTGACTATTGTTATGTTAACTATGGTTGCTTGGTGTTTTTGTTCAATCTCCTTTTGTCTCAGTTATATGTTATTGATTTACACACTTAACTTCTTGCAGGTGTGGTCATTGCAAAAACCTAGCTCCTGTATGTTAGCTGCTTCTTCTTCCCATTCCCTTTATAATATGTGTGTAGGAATATGTGATTTGCTAAACTGCTTATTATATTAGCAGGTTACCATTGTTGCCATTTTTGTTGGACACAGATTATCACTTAATTCATTTTTATAACCTTTTAAGGGTCCAAGTTCACAAAAATAAAATCAATAACCAACTCCCTCTCCACCACTTATCTCTTCTCTCTCACATCTCTCCTCTCCCTTCTCTGTCAGTTGTGTCTATTTCTCTGATTCTTTCTCCTAGTGAAGGCTGCTTTTAATTTTATCTAGATTTGTTTGTGAAAAGCTATAATGTGCGATAGACAATCAACGGAAGGATATGGTGGAGAAAGAGAGATAGATGTGAGCACACACTGTACATCTAGGAGAGTCCAGGTCTAATTTTTTATAGCTTTTAAGGGCAAATAGTTTTAAAATAGAGGTTGAATCATATCAAACTAAAAAGTGGGCACAATGTTAACTTGCTTAAATACTGGGCGGTTTCTAAATCACATGAGTGTGTGTGGTTGTGTGTTCCTGTGACCATTGGTTTGTCATTGTTCTATCTGGGTCTTTCCTGCACTAGTAACGATCTGGAATTTCCTTGGTTTGTTCCTTCAGACCTATGAAAAGGTAGCTACAGCATTTAAATCTGAGGAAGATGTCGTGGTTGCCAATCTAGATGCTGACAAATATAAGGATCTAGCTGAAAAGTAAGGGCAAACTTTGCTGATTAGCTAATTATTTTGATGAAAAGGGTTCTCAGACATTAGAAGCTGTCAATATTAATGACCTATGCTAAATTCAGGTATGGAGTAAGTGGATACCCTACATTGAAGTTCTTCCCAAAAGGCAACAAAGCTGGGGAGGAGTATGAGGGCGGGAGAGATTTGGACGACTTTGTTACTTTCATCAATGAAAAGTCTGGAACCAGTCGGGATGGAAAAGGACAACTTACTTCAAAGGTTAGTTACTACATATAAAACTGAAAGTTTAGTCCTTTCATTGTTGTTGACTGAGTCATTTGATCATATTATATTTATATACACAATAGGCTGGTGTAGTTGAAAGTTTGGATGCCTTGGTGAAAGAGTTTTTAGCTGCTGGCGATGATGAGAAGAAAGCAGTCTTTTCCCGAATTGAAGACGAAGCTGAGAAACTCAAGGGTTCTACAGCAAGGTACTTTGTGGCATGAGCACTGGTGTTTAAATTTTGCTTTGGCTTGCTTTGATATGTTTACAATACTGCTCAAAGTTGTCATGTCTTTTGAAATTGCCTTCTCTATTCTTGCTAAATCTCCAATGAATGGAAGATATAACCATATAATATTCCATGTTAATTATAGGTATGGAAAGATTTATTTGAAGGCAGCCAAGAGTTTTATGGCGAAAGGTGCTGATTATGCCAAGAATGAGATAGAGCGGCTACAGCGCATTCTTGAAAAGGTAAGATTGATAGATTCTTTTTCTTACTGAAGCATACTCTTGAGTAATACTAATAGGAGCCAAACAGCTATATTTTGACATTTTGAGATAGCAATGAGTTGGGACAAGATTCTCATATTAAGATCATACCTACCACAACACTTATTTTTAATGTTTTATAGAACTCTGATTGGGAGGTTTGGATGACAGATCTTATAAGAACATTACACGAGTACAAAATGAGTTGTGTAAATATGTGAAAAGTTGTGATGACTGTTACCTGATCTTATCTTTTCCTTGGTTTATGGTGCAGTCAATAAGCCCAGCAAAGGCAGATGAATTTACCCTGAAGAAGAACATTCTATCTACTTTCGCTTGATCTTCTGATCTTTTGTCTCGCTCATCAATATTTTGGGCGTGAACATCGTCCAGTTTTGGGGAATCTGTTTTCACCCAACTCCTATCTGGGCAAGGCTTCTCACGGTGAAAATCTGTATCCCCTGGAATTCGATTGAGCAAGTTCCCTAGTTCGAAATGATTTTGAGAACCTTAACTAGCTAGTGCAGTATGTTTATATGCCTTGTTTTTACGTCTGTGCTTGTATTTTACAGCGGAGAAACTTTTAATTTTTGAATGAACCATGCATTAGACAAATGAATAACCGCCAATTGATCTGTTTTTATTCTATAATCCGTGAACGTATAATGTTATGTCGATACCAAATTCTTCGTAAGCCAGAATATTAAAAAAACACCAGGGTTCTTAACTTTGTTAAAACTGAGAGATGATAACATGCAACACCCCTATCCTTTTTTCTTCCCCGATGTTTTTGTCATGACCAGACTAGCATGTTCTCGTTGGTCCCACCTTTTCCTGCAACTTATTTAGTGAAAAAATCTTGAGAAATTTAAGATATGCCCCAACTTTGTACCTCAATATGGTCGGTGTTGCCTGTATTGATTGTTCTCGTTGGCTTATATGAGTTGCGACTGGTTCTGGAATAATTTGGAAGCTCTCTTCGTTTTTAAACTGAGGGTGATCATGTTGTTGTTTACACCTAAACTTATCCTTTTTGTGTCGAGGGATTAGTTGCCTGGACCAAATTGAATCTCCAAGAAATAGAAGGGACCAAACAAGACTCCAAACTTAAGCCAAATTGTGATTGGCTAGCTAATTGGAAGCAACTAGTTGCGATTGTTGTCATAAAACTTATTTTCCTGTTAGCTTAATTAAAATTCTAAATTACTTTAAAGACTCAGATTTCTCTTTATAAACAGAGAAAGCACTAACTTCTAAAAAATCTATCTCAGATCAATTTATCAAATTTATTTTAGTTCTATACTTCGCTTTTATTTTCTCTTTTTTTACCTCCATTTTCCCTCCTAATTTATTAGATGAGGTGTATTCCTTTAGTTTAAGTTTAGGAGAGAGTCACCCCCTTTAGTCTCAAGTTCACTACTTTTTTGTAGTAACAGTTGTTCTTACACAAGCTGCCTACTAAGTAGATTCCTGTCGCTGTTCCTAATGCCTTTTGTAAAGGACTCAGATTCAGAAACAATCTACAAACCAGTTGCATTAACTTATTCAGCGATCTTGCAGTCAACTTGTATGGCGGAATTTCTCTTTCTGGCGAAATGTTGATACGATCTATCTTGTCATTTACGCATCCGCCAAAACCATGCCTACGTACTTGTATAAAATCTCGTTTCCGCAATAACAGAAAAGTTGCTTGTTTACTAGGGAAATAATTATCTAGCTGGCTTTGCTGGCCTGTTTATTTAACTGGCACTCTTGTTCTATGGTGATCTTGAAGAAACAATTCCACAGAATTATAAGTTATTTCGTGTCTTCAATCGATAAGGTCCCATAAATGGATCGAGGCACTTTTAAATGGCCATCTCTCGAACATTTGACAAAGGTATTCATGTTTTAGACTGGAAGATATTAAACGCTAACATGAACAGTCTATGATACTATCCGCTGGACCTCTTTTCCATTGAATTGAGATCTCAAATCCATACAGAACCCGCAAAGAGTATGGCCAAACAGAACATCACACTTCCGAGACATCGCAAATTCAAACGTATATCCATGACAACTGGACAGCTCGACAACCCAGGCTTCAGCTGTAGTCTGTATGGCCAAATTGTTACACAACCATCAGACAGAAAGGCAAAGCAGAGCAAAGGGTGAATGTTGCAAATATGAAATGCATACATCAGAGATTACAGCAGCACTGGCCTTAGCTTTGCCAGATTTTGCCATTATCATCATGAGTTAAGCTTGGCCAGATTTTGCCAGTAGCAAATATGTATACACCAGGATTAAATCAGCCATGATATAGTTAAATCAGACACCTCCATTGGGAGACAGGAATGCGGAGGGTAGTGAAACTGTCAGCAGTAAAACTGTAAGTGCTATTTAGTATAGGCTCTCCTATGAACTCAAATGCAATCCTTGATACGTTATCAACCAAAATCTGTCATGGGCCAGTCACTGATAAGTCACTCTAAACAAGTTCGGTGTAGGTGCACAACATATGGTCACAGTTGGTCGGTTGGCTCTGCAATATGATTACACAAGTATTTAACCTCCAGGATCATTCCCTTTTATGTTCATATTCAAAACCCGACACGCCTTCTCTTCATTAAATTCAGGTTCTGAGATGCTCATTGAAGAACACTCCTCAAGCGGATACTCCCTCCCTTCAACTAAGGACTTCATATATGAGCATGGTCGCTCTTCAACTTCAATGTTAGATCCAGGCTCGTGTCCTGAACCAAATGGCAATTCAAAAGATGATGGACCGGGAGGTTGTGTTCTCATCTGCACAGAACGCAGCAGTGCAGCCCTCCTTAGGTCAGCTGAGTGGCATATGTCACTAGGTGATGACGGGAACCGGCCCTCAGAATCTGAACCTAGTTGACGAGGCTGTGAAGTGACACTGGTGACAGTGCCGCCATGTGAAGGGAATGAGCTGGTATAAGGAGCAGAAGAGAACCCAATAAGTGGTCTTTGGTACCTATATGGAGAAACTGGACTGCTGGGTAGACTTTCAGATTGAGGCGAGCAAGCATTTATAGGGGTCTCACAAAATCTAGAGTCATCAGAGTCTTCTGACATTGGTGAATATTGGAAGGACATTTCATCCCTGAAATGATATATGCGAGGAAACAAAATGAATGGGAATTAATAATATAATAATAATAAAAAAAGATGGTTTTCCTCTTAACCAGCCAGAGCAAAAAAAGATGAAGAGTCTTATCAGCTTGGGGCATAATTCAAGGCAGAAAAGCATCTTTTGAACAAATTATCTACCCGAAAATAACATGAATCAAGCCATTCTTACAACTAGTGAAGGCTACCCCTACTATTAACTCAATTATTTTATCTAGCCAATGGTTCCATCAATGGATAACATTTCTTTCAAATCACAAAACTTCAATTTGCCGAAAATTAGAGTTGATTTTGCATTGGCAAACTAGCACATAATGTGCTGGCAAATGCATGGGCAAACTGCAAATTGCTGGAAATTTCCTACTGGTATTTACTTAAATGAAACTCTTCACTCTAAATCACAGAAGTGTTATAAACCACGGTCAAAGAACATCTTTTAATTTGATGATTTGAAAAATATAAACCGCAGCCTGAGTCCATCAATGATTATGCCATAATCCACAATTCAAACAGGGTATCTATAATTGAGTTACAAAATATGAAGCTATAAGGTGACACCTTCCCATTCAAGGAAATATGGCCTTATATAGTAGTACTTTTTAGTAAAAATGCTTAAATAATTCATCGAGTAATATTTGAGGAGCAGCACAGAATTTTCAAAACCAAAATAGCAGTATTTGAAAACTTTATCATATTACTATTATGAGTAAAAGGAAAAAAAAAATCACCTGACAAAAGCCATGGTGTCAGACCTGGCAGGAGATTCCATAAGATTGTCCTGGAGTGGGTCTTCAACTGTTAATCCATTCAAACTAGATGCCATTATCTGCACCCAAAAAAGTTAACAATTTTTTAAGTCACAAGTAAACCCAAAAGAAATGAGAAAGAAAATTTAAAGCCAGTTCAAAAACCTCAAGGAAAGGAAAAGGGTGGCTAATTGTCAGGGAAAAAAAAAAAAAGGACAAACCTCACTGAGGTAACGCTTGTGAGAACGGAGATTGTCAAGATAGATCTCATCTTCAGGATCTCTACTTCGCTTCCCATTTGGCGTCGATGGTGTTGATGCTGATGTTGATGTCGATGCTGATGCTGTTGCTGAGTTCGAATCCGACCCCATTGATTACTGCTTTTCTTTTCTTTTTTGTTAACTCCAATCTCTAATCTCATATATAATGGAAATGTTTCATTGGGTTTATGTTACCGTTGGAGTTAATGGCGAAAGAGAGAAATAAGGAAAGTGAAAAAGTTTGGTGGATAGAGAAAAGGAAGACCAAGAACAACGTCTTGGATGGGCTGGGAAGTGCGCTCTGAAGATATGGGCAACCCAACAGGTGAAGCGATAGTTATTGTGATGTCATGGTCTAGGATAGATGTACGGAGAATCGATTCATTACAGAAGGTGAGAGATATCTTTAATGAGAAAAGAAAAAGACAATTCAGGACAAGACACCTGTTGATGTGGCGATAATTGATCAACCGTTACAGCCCAGGTCCAGCAGCCCAAGTTCAAGTCCAAGCATCAGACCTTCCATGAAGACCATGTCCAATCCATGAAGTCCAAGTCCAAGCCTGAAGCAATCTGTCTCGAATTCCAATTATTGTCATCCTTTAGAATAGCTCAACCTGTGAGTGTTATCAGCCCTGCCAACTGGTAGCTTCTTCGGGTTAGAATAGGGCGGCAATTACGATCTTTCTATTTTGTTGTTAATAACCGTTGTAAAAGTCGTATATAAACGACTTGTGCAAGTGAACGAAGGATATCGAATTATTTAGTCTAAAACATTTAGTTTTGATAATCAGAAATAAAAGTAACGTGAATGAAAATGCAGAAAACTAAATGTAATTTAAATTTTTTAATATCTGATTTTTTATATAAATAAAAATAATGATTAAAAAATAATTTTATCAAAGTATAATAATTGTAAAAAATAATAAAAGTGATGGTGATTATGATAATACTGATTCTAATGATGGTGGGAGTGGAGGTAGTGGTTGTGGTAGCAATAATAGTGCTTATGGCGGTAGCAATGGTGGTGATAATAGCGATTGTAATGATGATGGTGGTGATGATAGCGTTGACAATGGTGATAGTGATGATAAAAATAATTAATAGATAATAAATAAATAAAATATATTATTATTTTGAAAATAAATTCGTTTTCGTTCCTTATTTGTATTCCCACATCTTATATCGGAATAAAACTTTCGTTCTCATTTTTACAATTTTATTCCTAATTATCAAACAACGCCTTATTGCTTTTGCAAATTATTTATTCTTTGTCTCAAAGGTGCTCTCAAGATAGCTTGAGGCAGGAACAAGAGGCGTAGTCAAGGCGTAGGCTGGGGAGTTTCCTAGGTACATAACAACTTGGTATCAGAGCTTGTTATGGCCGGGGAACATGCCGACCAGCGTTTCCTTCGACATGAGCACCAGATGGAGAGTCTATGTCGACAGACGACGAAGATCCTTCAAGCATTCCAAATCAAGGAGGAGTCTTCTACCAACCACCGTAGTCAGGTTCGAAGAAACACTCAGGGAGAGGGTTTCTAGCTTGATGATTACAAAATAATATGAGGTTCCATTTCTAATTCTACTAACGTTAGTGGTTCTTATGAAGCTAAAGTGGAGGCCTTAAACTTAAAAAATAACACGAGAAGAACATTAAAAGAACTCCATTGTAGTGTTCTCTTAGAGGGCACAGGAACTTCAGCAAATGAGATAGTCAAAAAGGAAAATGGTGAGAGTGGAACTGTGTAATGTTTTCATTTGATTTGGTAGAGGCGACCAGATGTAATTTACCGCACTAACTTGAGCACGGACTTGAAAGGAGCAGGAGACTTCCTACCTATGTGTATATTTCTGATTGTGGACCTCTCTTAGAGGCCTTGGTTATGAAGGAGTATGGCAACAAGGCTTCTTAGACGAGACTACTCAGGTTCAGCGATGGCCCATTACCTGGGGTTAAGTATTGGCTTAAAATACTATTGGTTACAAAGAATGGTCATGTTCTATTTAATTTAGAATGGTCATGTTCTATTTAATTTAGATAGATGGGAAATAGCGCTTTGTAACCCAAAAGAAGAGACATTGTAAAGATTCAGTATTGACAGTGAGGGGGTTGGAGTGAATCTACTGTCTACACACAAAGTCTTGTTTCCCCCAATACTGGTGGTAGTTTCAAAGCACTGCAACGTCCGGATATCTGATAACAAGAGAGAATAACCTTGTATTTTTTGCTTCTTTGTTTCCTTATCCAATGTAATAGCATGAACTTCATTGTCGTTCTTGCTTTATTTTTCCTTATCCAATGTAATAGCATGAACATCATTGTTGTTCTTACTTTATCTCAAAAAACAACTATTAAATTGATTTCGATAAATTTTGATTATATAAAAAATAAGTAAATAAAACAAATAAATTTTGTTTTTAATTGATTATTTATTTTTAAAAAATTTATTCAAAAATTCATAAATAGAGAAAGATAAATTATATTTATTAACAAATAAAATTACATAAAAAATAAAAAAATAAATTTGATGAGCATATAAGAAATGACAAATTGAAAAGGTCAATTTTAAATAATAAAAATAATATAATTCGATATACATATTTTAAAATTTTAAAACAGATTGTATATATTTCATAGTTGCTAGCTTGTATGGAAAATTAAAAAAAAATTTGATTTTTAATAATTTTCGCACTCAATTCAATAATAAAAAACTAAAATAAATTGCTAGAAAAAAAACAAAAGAATTAAAAAAAAAAAAGGCAAGCAAGAATGCTTGGTCATCTAGAGACCAAAAATATATTTTAAATATATCGAAGACTCAAATAAAACTCAATGTTAAATTTATATATGAATGTCTAAAAAAACCTCAAAAATAACAAAAAAAATGCCACTATATATTCAAAATGAACAGTGGGCATAAATTTGGACGAATAGGATACACAAGTCTGAGTAAATAGTGCTGTAACTAAAAGCTCATCCCTTTTTTTTTTTAGTTTTTTTAATAACAAACAAGTTAATGAATATAGTAAATTTTAATAGATAGAGTGTGCAATTTACTCGATGGGTCCAGTACCCAGCCTATTGCCAACCCTTCGTTTACTTAAAATAGTCAAATTTGGTCAACGATTCAAGGTTTCTCTTTTATCTTCTTTGATGTACGATAAAGATTAGGTGGCTCGGACACAGCCGGGAACAAGTGAGGAATTAAAGGAGCCAGAAGGATTGATTACAGTAGAGATTGGATCGGTTGTGATTCAAGGTTTTATAGATTATTTTTGTAGTGCAGGCAAATGCAAGAGTGATAATAGCAGAGCACCAGAAAACGCATAACATCACTAAAACAACCCTGCAACTTTAATTGAATGGAACAAAGACATCATACTAATAACGATCAGCTACTAATTAAAAGTCTTGTTTTCAATTTTTACAAGGAACAAATATACGAGGAGATGCATCATCTATTCCTGTACTAACCATTTCCCGCATCACATGCCATTTTAATAACCCATTATTCAAATTCCAATAAATATCTCATCAACAATGGTGCAACTCTTAAACTACTGATGAGTACAGTCGCATGCCAAAACCCCCAACCACGGGCAGTGTAATGACAGTCTGATGATCAACAGATTCTACTATTAGCTAAGACAATCCACGCAAATCGATTACTGTTGAGCTTTTCACGCATTTCTCTAAATGAACAACATTGGAGATGGCATATCCATATTATCATATAGATCGGGAAACTAATGATATTTCAATTGCACATTAAATTCTCCCAACAAAATCCGCCAATATGGTCTTTGTACAATTCTGGAAGTGCCTGAGAATAAGTGTTAAGACCCTTCATCATGGGCATGTAATGTTATATCTTGTAAACAGGTTTAATACCAAGAAGGAAAAAGCATTTCCTCATGACCACAGCTGTTGCTTCACATAACAAGAGTCTACTTGTTTCTTCTGCTGAACCAACAACCTGCACAATTTTCCAACAAAGAGTCTTAAATCTCTAGAGTTTGTATTTTCCATTAGTATCATGTATTATATCGACCGTACCATAGCATTCAATATTGTTACTGTTTCTGGGTGACAGAAGACAAAAATCATGGGATATTGATACTAGTTCAGCATTGAGATGGCTAAGTCATTGCATGCAATCCATCCAATCAAACAGCATGGAAGCACAATTCAGTTGCGTTAATAATAATAGTTCTAAAATTGGTACCAAGACCAGATAATTGTTATACCTGGCAATTGGAATAAAATCTAGTGAAGTTTTCAGATAAATTATAGAGGTATTCACACAACACATTTGGCAGTAAGTTCGTACAGGCCTCCTCAACAACCTGCAAAGGACAAAAATATCAATGAATAACTACTCTCAAAACTTGCAAGGTAATAAAAAAAAAAAAAATGCATGCAAGGAAGCAAAGCTTAAGCGACCAAAGGACAGACTGGTTCTGTAAAACTGTCTCACCTCCGCAAACTGTAGCAAATGAAGCCCCAACGCACGCTCATCCGCATGATCCAACACTATTGTCCCAGTCTGCATGACCAGAATATATATAAGAAGCAAAACATAACATCAAACTTCACAAGCTGAATTGTTAACTGCCACTTCATGGGAAGAATTATCTAGTTGCATGATCCCATTCTTATAGGAATAACTTTCAAGTTCTTTAAACCAACAGAGAATAAGAAACACAAGGTCACCTTGATACCTCAACACTAACACGTAATCAACATTATGCGGCTAAATCACATTTGATAGAGTAACACATCAAGCGTTTTACAGCAAATGTTTGGATAGAATTTTTAAAACATAGAGTAACAATTTTACAAGAGGCACCTAACTGTTGGTTTTGCAAGAAATTTGGGTGAACATATTAAGCAGAAAAACCTAGCAAGCAGCACAACCATTCAAAAACATCCTCAATTGTATGATTCAATGTTGCACTCTTGGCGTCAAAACACCCAAGAATACAACTGATTACAACAAGAATGTAGCTTCTAATCGAAATAAGTCTTCTGACACAGACCCTGATTGATATCATTGGGATGCCAGTTCACAGAATGTGAAGATATTTACATGCGCATGGATAGTACAAAAGAAACAGTAACAGGAACAGTGATAGACACAGTGTAAGATGAAAATTTACCTTCTTCAGCTCCCCTATGTCTTTCCCAGATTTCCTGATAATTGAACAGATCCGAGCATGTGCATACAACAAATAAACAGCAGTGTTGCCCTGCTCAAATAATCCAAAGGTAAGAAACAGGTACTGGCTGCGGTAATCATAAATAATGAAAATGAAACAGAGAGAAGAATGGTCCTCAATAACAACTAGAAGCCACCACAGTAAAAACCAACTGACAAAGTAACATGCAAGCAGTAAACTGTACACTCACCTTATCGTTGAGCATCTGATCAAAATCAAATGTGTAATTTGTCAACCTGTTGTTCTTCAGGTCGGCATACCTGCCATGAAACAATAAAGATTTAACTTTCTCAAAGGGGTATTGATATTCAAGAATTAAGTTATAATCATACCATAATATAATGGTGCAAATGAAAACGGAACAAATAGCAATCCAATGCAATTCCAAAGACAAATACCATCTGATCAAATGTGAAAATAACTATTCGTAATGATATTGATGATGCAGTCTCATAAAAATTTAGTGCAGGCTAGTTTCATCTATTTTTCAGATTTGGCAACTTAATTTCTTCTTGTGCAGGAATATCATGATACACCTAATAAATCCAAGCTTTATATCATTTGATAGGTCAAGTCACAAGCAAATCGGGTGAAAGAAGTTTCTAATTATGACATTATTTTATCAGTGATAGATTACAGGTGTTCTAAGCCCAAACCCTCATAATCAAAGTGCAATTGAAGTTTCCTTTGAACTATTGTAAATCCAAATTTCACCCATTGGTTTTGCATTGAAAACCCCAAACCATCATAATTATCTGAACTTTGAATGCACTTTGATTAACTATATAAAACACCCTTTCCTCTAGCCTGAAAATTCCTTAGCTTGTTATCCTTTATATATTCATCTTTTTCCCATCAAATTTAATTATTCTCAACCAAGTCTCATTCACAAAACCTGAACTCCATCTTCCAAAGAACCCAATCCCCAATCCCGTCCCTAATTCCTCCAAGTTACTCAAAGAAATCAAATGTAAGCAAGCAGATGCCAACAAATCAATTGGTGATGATGATTGTAATGACAAAATAAAGTGCTAAAGAAAAGATAAGCCAAAGTAGTGTATATAGCTTACTTCACAGCACCATAACCAATTGCTTCAGCAGTTTGCTCAAGCTCCTCTTCAGTCCATTCTGCAGCCTTACCTGTTTGGGATATAGAGCATATCTTCATACTCTCAAGTTAAAAGAAATGCTGTGTGGAAGCAATCTCATGAAAAGAGGTGAACCACACCATGTACAAATATAAAATAAAGAGATGTGTGGTGCAAGGCAGATAGGTAAAATCTAACATGCATATCATCAAAGATCATTCAAGTTATCATACCACGCTCAACAAGTGCTGCTTTGCTGCGGGTTTTGGCTTCATCAAGTAAATCAGCTAACCGAACCACTTCAGTAGAGCGAGTTCTAAACCGTTTCCCATCTTCTCCAAGAACAAGACCAAAACCAACATGGCTAGCTTTAGGGTACTGGCTATCATTAGCTGGGAGCCAACCCGCACGCTTGGCAGCCTGTATCAGGTAGCCCAAAGAATGTTAGACCTTCTACATTAAATTACAAATTAAAATAGCACTATCCCAAGTATTTAAAGAAGGGAAAGCATGTGGAAAACTTGAAATAAATAACCAGTTATGAAGAATTGACATCAAGAGGTAACTGGTGGAAAGGAAAAAAAGAACTTGTATATAGTAAATAAAAACTGGAAAAAATAAATTACAAACAAAATCAAGCATGAAACACCAGAGAAGGTATGCAAATGATACATACTTTGAATACCATATCAAAGTGTTGCTGTTGGCCGACATCAGTAACATAAATAATCCACTCAGCTTTCTCTTCATTAAGGCGATACCTATATACAAGCAACATTTTCAATGATTAATGAACTAAATCAGTTACTAAAAAAGACGTATGAAGTTGCATGCAATGCAGAAAAACACTAACCAAAGAGCAGCCATATCAGTAGAAGCATAGTTGTAACCACCATCACTCTTCACCACAATAAGTGGTATGTTAATCCCTTCAATAAATATCACACGAGCATCTCTACTTTCTTCAACTAATCCTAAATTAGTTAGTACTTCAATAACTCCAGGAATGTAGGGATTGTAAAAGCTTTCTCCCTGCAAACAATGAAAAGTGTTCAAATGGTTTATGTAAAATCAAATCTTGATAAAGATTTAAATATGTAGAATGAATAGCAACTAGATAATCCCCAATTACCCAGTGCTAAATGTTTGCAGTTGGCACAGTAAAAAAAAATGCAGCTGCATAAAAGAGTTTTCATGATGGTATCCTCAAAAGGCACTCCACAAAAAGCTAAATATATACCTTTTCCTCTAGGTGAACTCCAAGTCGTTGATAGACCTGATCAAACTCCCTCCTGCTAATTTCACAGATCTGAGCCCATGCTTGTCGGTACGCTTGTTCTCCACTCTGTGTACAAAAGGAATTTCAATGTAAATAAACACTTAAACATCAAGCAGTTTTAGGTTCCAAAGACATCCGACAAGATGTCAGCCTTATGAATCCCTCGAGTGAATGGTAATTGATTACCTGAAGGCGAACCACAGCTTTTTGTGCCCTAGCCTTAAATTCAGAATCAGCATCAAACCTCTGTTTTGATGCCTTGTAGAATGCCTAAACACAACATCAATCAAGTTACTATCCCATCAACTGCTAGCATGGAATTTATTATTCTATAAATCATTGGCATATTTAAAGACATGTTAGCAAAGCCCCACTTCAACTCTCTAATTTTCATGATTGATAGAGCTATAGTGTTTGGAATCACCTGTAGATCACCAATTGCTGCTTCATTAAAATCTTCAAAGTTTGGAAATTTTTCGAAGAGGAATTCAATCAACATACCAAACTGCAAAGCAAAGAGCAAATTTGTGAGGTTGCTGGCCAGAAGGGGGCAAAGGCAGTATACATTAGAACTGCCTAACCCTAAAGAAACTAAGGAGATAACAAGAATCACTTAAGTGTCAGCAACATCTATTCAAACTATATTCTTATAAGAACAAACCAAAACAAATACAGGCCATTTATGTTATTTTACTATAAGATATAACAAAGCTAATCACATTAATTACACAGTTTCAGAAATCAGAATTAACCTGTGTCCCCCAATCACCAACATGGTTTCGCCGAAGGACTTCGACATTAGAAAACTCGAGCATGCGTGCTAGAGTGTCACCAATAATAGTAGACCTCAAATGGCCAACATGCATCTCTTTAGCAATATTGGGTGAGGAAAAATCCACCACAGCCCTCTTGATGGAAAGTTTTGGAGCCCAAGTCTCAATTCCATCAACTAGCATCTTTTGAATGTTCTGCAGCCACAACAAACTAATCTAAGCAATCTATGCCACTAATATCAGAACCATTTATACAATATCAATAACGAGGTGCATGCAAAAAGTTAAAATAAAAGAAAATCAAAAGGGAATCAGAACCGAACACAAAGATAAAGCATTGAAAACAAAAAAAATAAAAAACAACAAAAGTTAGGCAATATCCAAACACCTGAGCCATCCAATTTCTAGATAATACAACATTCACAAATCCAGGACCGGCCACAGAACATGATTCTACCATTTCAGACTGCGGAAGATTTCTCATGATAGCCTGCCAAAAACAATAAGAGAATCATTAAACACAAACAGAAAAGCTTTCCATATTTATTTATTTTCAATAAAACAACAAAATCTTTTAGTGAGGAAGATAATCCAATGCATACCTGTCCAACTGCTGGGGGTCCCCTAAATTCAATTCCTGGGCGGCCTTTGATTTTCGACCAAAGTCCCATTGCATTATTACTGCGGCACATACCATTTTTTTTAATTAAACTTTAAGACTAATTATAGCAAAATAGCAATTGCAGAGTAGCAGTGGTAGTACCATTGGTAGTCTCCAAATCTCCCAGTGCAAGCAGCAATCAATGGCTCGACATCAGGCTCCCCAGGGACTGTTGCTTCAAGTGATAGCTGAAATAATTTTGCTAATTTTCGCTTTAAATTTCCTGCATTCTCTTCTTCCTGTGTACTTTCTAAAAATATTAGACACCAGCATTAACTGTGACCATATTCACAACTATTGTTTCATCCGGTTAAAGCAAATAAAAATAAACTTACAGTTGCCATGGTTGAAATTGCTTGCCCCTTCGTTGCAGCAAAAGCAAGTCTTCTAGATTTCGCTGTCTTTGTTTCACGTTAAAGAAAAAAAAGAAACGGAAAAATTGAATAAAGTAAAGTAAAATAAAAGAGCACAAGTAATCGTACAAGAAATCGAAAGAGAGAAGCCTTACCAGCAAAGACAGGGAGAGGAAAAGAGGGTATCAGAGAGAGTCGATTGACGGAGAGAAAAGGACAGGGAAAGAGCGGAGCTAGCTGATGGGTTACGCAGGAGGGTAGCATAACTTAACGTAAATATTCCTTTTTCAAGGAGTTGTAGCGTGGCGGCTATGGAGGAATAAAGGGTGGAACTGCAGACGAATTGATTCGCGAAACCCTGAACCAAAACGACAGCGTTTGCAAGGAAACCCAAAACGCCGGGTCGCGATTTTTAACTTTATGCGAAATCTAAGATTAGTCACTAAGCTGTTTTCTTTCTCCCAATTTCATCCCGGTATAAAATATTTTATCAATTAAATTCCTAATATTTCAGTCATATCTTCCCAACTAGTCTTCTATCCATTTTTTTTTTTTTTAACTAAACAGAATTAAGAAACAGTACCCCAATCTACAAAAAAACATAACTTCAAATAAATCTTACCTATACAATAAAATCTTAACTTTTTCTTCATCTACATAACTTCAATTCAATTTTTTAAACAAGATAAAAAATTCAATGATCCATGCATATAATAATAATTTTACACAAATAATAATAATTTTTTAAAATTATCTATAATTTCAATTGAAAGATTCTATTTCTTATCTTCACTTTTTTTTTCTATAATTTGATTTGTCTTGACCATTTTTTTCATATATTTTCATTATTTTTATTAAAACTAGGGTTTAAAGATAAAATAGAAATGTAAAAGTGGATAACTGAGAAATATAAATCCATGCAATGAGAATTATTTCATCAAATTTATCACACAAACCAATCTGAATACACACACATCACATATCTGTGTTCCTTAAAAATTAAGATTTGTCATGTTCAATCTTAGAAAAAATACTTAATTGGAAAACATCATAAAGTTAGAGGACTTATACGGGCTTCCCCCAATGAATGAAAAAAAAGAAAAAAGAAAGCGAAGAAATAATCCAAAATCTGAAAAGCCATACTTAAACCCCTGCTTTCCTAATTCCCGCGCCTCCTCCACTCCACGTAGCTCCATCAAACCCTCCCAAGATTAGGTTTTCACTTCTCTCTCCTCTATGGCCATGGCTTCTACTAGCATAGCATCAAACGCCGAGTTATCGGCTGCTGTTGCAGCTTCCATCAGACCCTCTTCTAATGAACCCTTGGCCACCCGACAACCCATAGGAAGATGCTCGTTTAGTCGCTTTTCCGATAGATTTCCGCTTCTATCAGTGAGAGCCACAAGCAATAATTCGATGTCCATGGAAAATAGCAGCAAAAGCAGTGATGGGGCTGCTGGAGGACTTACATATAAGGATGCTGGTGTGGATATAGATGCTGGGTCTGAGCTTGTTAGGCGAATTGCGAAGATGGCTCCTGGGATTGGTGGATTTGGTGGTCTTTTCCCTCTTGGTATGCTTTATCTTGGATTCCCCCTTCATTTATGGCTTTCTGTTCTTGGTTGTGAACATAATTGAATTGTTAAAAATCTTGGAAGCTGCAGATTGTTTTCATATTCTCTGCTATAGTTATAAATGTTATTCTTCTTAATTATGCTAGGCCTGCACGGTGGGAACTTGGGGAATAGGGTGATGCTAAGAGTTGTTTGATCCTTGTGATTGTTAATATACTTTTGTTTGTTATTGTGCTGATTAAAGTTCTTGCACACAGGGGATTCATACCTAGTTGCAGGTACGGATGGTGTTGGGACTAAGTTAAAGCTTGCCTTTGAAACTGGAATCCATGAAACCATTGGGATTGATCTGGTAAAGTCTGGATAAATTTTGTTATATGCATTTTGTTGCTGTTGATTTGCTTCCTAATTCACTTCTCCTGCTGCAGGTTGCTATGAGTGTGAATGATATTATTACTTCTGGTGCAAAGCCATTATTTTTTCTTGATTACTATGCTACAAGCCACCTTGATGTTGACCTTGCTGAAAAGGTATTGGTAATGTGCATGGTTTACTGAGTTTATCTAGTATTTGTTCAAAAGGCTGCAACTAAATAAATTTTGCTGTTATTCTGATATAGGTCATCAAAGGCATAGTAGATGGTTGCCAACAATCGGACTGCACTCTTTTAGGAGGAGAGGTATTATTTTTATTACTTTACATTGAACTGGTGAACGTCTACCATTCATTGCATTGTGCACTGCTGGATTTGAAGGTTGGCATTGTGGTCGCCATAGCTCTTTTTATATTTTTACAAGGACTAGGCTATTGCAGCCATGTTACCCAACGTGGTGGCAATTACCAATGATGGTGTTGCAGGTTCTTGGTAAATAACAGATGGGTTTGCATCATACTATCCTTTCAATTACATTTGGTCCTTGACCTATCACAAGTGTCTGCCTCAAGTGAAATGGTCATAATCTAGAGAGTTCTTGAAATAGTCATTAGAAATACTAATTGTCCAATTATCTTTCATGAACAATCATAGGTTACCAAGAAATCATCTACATTTATTGGGATAATTTTTGTTGGAGGATGAGAGAGAAAAATAAAATGCTGTTTGGAAGAAATGTTTCTGTTAGGCTATGAATGCTCTTAGACTAGAGATGTATGTGTGCATTGCCTTATGTAAGAGGGATATGGCATGGTAACTTATAGAAGCAGATAACCATGGAAATTCTCAATCCTTTTCACATAATTGGTACTGTTATGGTCCTACAGTATGTGGAATAGACCCGCCAAATGCATGATGTGGTCAAAATTGCTGACAGTAAAAGTTGCTTTCATCTCTTATTCCTCCCTTTTTACACGTGATCATAATTTTACCAAAACTGACAACTCTCCTCTGACCTCAATGGTTTTGTTAAATTCCTTCCAGACTGCAGAGATGCCAGATTTCTATGCAGAAGGTGAGTATGACATCAGCGGGTTTGCTGTTGGCATTGTTAAAAAGGACTCGGTGATTGATGGGAAAAACATTGTGGCTGGGGATGTTCTCATTGGTTTGCCATCGAGTGGAGTCCATTCCAATGGTTTCTCTCTCGTAAGAAGGTTGGTGTTTGTTTTGAGGGATTCTTATTTTTTTCTCCATGCATGTTTACTTCATTGATGCTGGAAGAATATTTAGGGAGCTATGATCGTTTAGTTCTTCTTATTAATGGATGAATGCTTGTATACCTTAATAGGGTTCTAGCTCGAAGTGGCCTGTCTTTGAATGACCAACTTCCTGGTGGAAGTGTTAAATTGGGCGAGGCTCTTATGGCTCCAACTGTTATCTATGTCAAGCAGGTTTCCTTTCAAGTTTTTTTTTTTTTTTTCACATTATTATGATTAACATTGTCAGTTTGACTGGATTTTTATTACTAAAAGAAAAACTGTTCCTTTTCAAACAGGTGCTTGATGTGATTAGCAAGGGTGGTGTAAAGGGCATAGCTCACATCACTGGAGGTGGTTTTACAGATAACATACCAAGAGTTTTCCCAGAAGGCCTCGGAGCTTCTATATACAAGGAATCATGGGAAGTCCCAACCCTTTTCAAATGGATCCAAGAGGTAAATTGTGTTTTACACAGCAATGCTGGATTATGATGTCACATTAAGTTGTCTTTCAAATGCCATATTGTACTCACCCCAATAAGAACTTGTGAATGTTTAATTTGATTCTTAACAAGTACAACTTGGAGGTTATGCTAATTGTAAATAAACACAAAGATAAATGGATCTTGTCAGATGGTATTTATTTCCTTTCTCTATTGTTTCCTTGTATCAGGCTGGAAGAATAGAAGATGCTGAGATGAGTCGGACTTTTAACATGGGCATTGGGATGGTTCTGGTCATGACCAAGGAAGCATCTCGCAAAATTCTTGAGGAGGGACAGCATAAGGCATATCACATTGGTGAGGTTGTACATGGTGAAGGAGTGAGTTATCACTAAAATACTAGCACAGTTTTATACATGTATGTGTTTGCGGAGATGAGAGATATAGAGAGTTGCGGCCTTTTCTTTATTGCTGTAGCATGCCAAAAAAAACTGTGTCAAGACAGATGGTGGGACAATTTACTTCAGAATCCTCCCCCCTTTTGTAGCTCCTCGATGTCATTCATGGCTGGATAACCCGTTCTTACATGACAATGCCTGTAATATCATTTCGTGCCAGCTTATTTTCTGAAACGTTGGTGGGGTATTCTAAAAAATTGAGGAAATTCTAGATTATTTTTTCAAGATCTTAAAATTTTGATGAGTTGACCTGTTCATCTGATACTGTTGCAAATAGATGAAGTCGAGTCCAAAGCAAGGTGGATTTGTAATGCTATGCTAAGAATACAATATAAATACTTTTGTTATCTGAAGTTGGAGGATTGTTTTATTACTGAAAACAAAACTGTGTTTACAATCGAGTTTTCCCCCACTTGTCATATCCTTCTCTCACTGCCTAGTTCCCATCGTCTTGTCGCTATTTCTTACTAAAGCCAGCCGCTGGTTACCTGTTCAGCATAACATTGAGTTTTGGGCCACTTGATCTCTTAGGAACGGATCTTTCCAGGCCGTTCTTCTGTTTGATGTTTTTACCTCCTGCACAAGAGTGGTTTTGTCAAACTCTGCCCGCTTAATCTTCTTGAAGGTTTTTGCAAGGTCTCTCTCAGTTGCTGAATCAGAAACTTGCTGTATTCTACGAGCTGCTGATTTCTTCAAGTTCTTTCCATTACCAACTGATTGCCCCAGTTTGAAATTTATGCAATTCTCCTTCAACTGGCACCTTTGCACAGCTTGCAATATTTGCCGATGATGTTGAGGACGAATGTGACTTGCGGGATTCAAATTCTGAGAGCAGTGAACCCTTCTAGGCCCTTGATGATGAAATGTATTCTCTTTCTCATGCTTCGGTGGCCTCTTGCTTTGAAAACCTTGCTGCCCTTTGTCCAATTTATGCAGGTAATAATGAAATCCAGACTCAGACAAACTAGGGATGACATTTTTAGGTGGATATCTTAGAGGAGGTACGAATAGTACAGCAATCTGGTTCCGCGTAGCCAAAGGTACCAGCGCAATTTCACTTCTTTCTAACTCCGAATTTGCATCTTGGGCCTCGTGTTTTAGGCACTTGCTTGGGGTAAGTGAATGCATCCTGTCGATGCCTGGAGCAGCAGAGGCAGAAATATTTTCCTTGCATAGCTTCGGATCATCCAGATGCCTGTATAAAAATTGTGATTGCAATGAATGGTTATCAAGCGACATTCATTGAGGCAAGCAGAAAGAGAATTCAAATATCTAAGCCATTATAATCCCCATATGCGTATCTTCCGATCTCAAAACAAATTGGAGCAGCACTAATCTCCAGTTAAGAGAAATATAACAAGAAAAGGTTGAGTTTCTTTTCCTCCAATCTTTCAGTCTTTTGGATTTTCTAACTTATATCAACCATGAGGCATAGAAAATATGAGTACTAATAAACCGGAAGAGATTAATACCTCATGTGAGAAGGTTGTTGAAGATGGAAGTCGAGTTTTCTCCAATCAATTCCTTTTTCCTGGAAAACAACTTCTCTGGGTCTGGCAGAGCCAAAACGGTTTGATTTCTGCTTCTGCTGCTCCTGGAATCGAGCTTGTTCTTCCTCTTCTTTCTCTACCTCATCTGCCCACGAAAATGCTGCAGAGCCATTTTTCATTTGCCTATCCACCATGTTCTCTCTCTCTCTGTCTTTCTCAACTCCAACGGCTCTTTAGCTGTTTTAAATTCTAAAGTTGGAGCTTTCGGGGCTTTGCAACTCGATTTAAGCCCTAAGATATTGCCATTTATGTAAACCACAAGTTCAAGGCTAATTATTTAGTCGAAACTTCCAGCTAATCCGTACTTGTATTTTTATGTCGATGTAACTTTGTAATTTTATCACTTTCTCCATTAGTTCGGATTTGAATTCTTTCATGTTTAAAGAAACACAAAATAAAATTTAAAAAAAAAAAAAAAAAACCCAAAACGAAAAGATCTCGATTCAAATCCCACGTCCTAGGTAAAATTTTGAATATCACCTTTATCATAAGGCTCCTTGACAATCTCGAGCGTTCTCTTGACTATTAATTTGCTAGTACTTGATTTTAAATTGACGCGACTCGATAAAAACCTACGTTGATAACGATCGTGGTGTTGTAATGGATAAATCTAATCTACAGTTCCGTAGGGTCAAAATGATGGGATCCACACAACTCACAACAATAATGCATTTTTTGCTTTTGGACCGACAATAATAGATTAGGACGTAACCGACCGTTTCCAAAATATGATTTTTGAGCGATCTCCTGTCGTGTCCTCTTACATTATGGATTGCGTCAAGAGATGTAACCGACCTTGGACTAACTAGTTACTACCATATCATAAGTCTGTGTTCTTCCTATCAACACAGCATTGGATTTAATCATAACATGTTGATAAAGAAAAAGATTTAAATATAGTAGCAAGTTAAATGACTTATATGGATATTGATACAGAGTTAATGTCTAAAATATAAACATTTTAGCATGATTTTCGACAATTTTATATTTATTATACTCAACGCTAATGTTTGATAGTTTCCATTAAGTTACGACCGGTATCAATTCAATTTTTTGCAAAACTAAGAATAATGAATTTGTTTATGCTTTTATAATATTATACCAAAATTAACCTTTTATTCTTGAGTGTGTGTATATATATACTAAAATTTAAGATGATGAACTTTATTATTGGGTAAAAAGGAAATCTTGCTTTTATAGTTTTATTGAACAGAAGTGGATGGAACATTCTATAGCTGCCGGAATAGATGGAGGGTAATTCAAAACACAATGCATGCACGCTTTATTCAGTGAACAACAACACAGAAGATTTGGAATTTTAATTTTCTGTGCCCAAAACCTTCACATGCAAAAGAGATATGGATACCAATCCCAAAGTGACCATGACATGATAATTGACACGTGTTTTCCTCTTCAATGCCGAAAATAGAATCTTTAAGATTACACTTTTTCACTGATACGACCTTTCCTGAAAAAAAGAAGAAAAAATGGTTGTTGTCGTGAGCTTAAAGCATAAAACAGGGTGCAGTTAGTGGACAAAAGTCACAGTCGCATGAAGACTACATCCCAAAAAAAGTTAAAAAAGGGCAAAACATTAAGAAGATTGAGGCATATATGGAGAATATGCGAAGCTCCCACGACAATGGGTATCCAAAAATTCAGTTCAATTGCATTCGACAACTCCAAACAACTGCAATAGAAGAAAAAGGTGAACTAAAACTTAGTTTATAACCTAGCATAATATGTTTCTCGTTTCAATGTCTTGGTTTTCTAATCTCAATGGATCAGTCTCATAATTAAAAAGGTTTTTTTTTACTTTCTTTTTTCATTTTATAAATGTGTTTTTAAGGAGATGCATGCAAGCTTGATGTCAAAATGCATCTTTAAAAAATCGTTTTGCTAGTAAGGAACAAGGTACTAATTTTTGTTTATATATATATATATATATAATTGACGATAGGATAAGAGTATTTTTATATGTGAATTGAGATTAATTTTTTTTTCAAATAATTTTGAAAGTATTTTTTTTTTTTGTCAATTTAGTATATTCAATCAAACATAATGTGTTTTTATAATTTCTGATTTCAAGATTTGAACATAAAAAAATCGGAAAATAAAACTTTTTTTTAAAATGTCATATTGACCCCTCCATACAAATGTCATCACTATCAAGACCCAAAACAAAAGGCTGATATAGACACTGACAATAACCAAAACAAAAAGGCTGATACAGACAGCTCAACTTAATTTTTCAAAAATTGGTGTCAACATCGACCTTTTATTCCATCCTATTGAAGAAATGAATTCGTTGCAAAGGATCGAATTTCATATTTTCATTACAATTTAGTTCGATTAATTAATACAATAGAATTCAATTTCATTAATAAATGTATTCCAAAATCCGAACAACTTGATTTGATGCTGGAAAAATTCGTCAAAAATCTAGACGCTCATGCGTGTCAGACCTGTATCCGGACTGTAGAGAGGCTTTTTATTTTCATATAACCATGAAATATTTATTTATTTATTTATAAATAATCATGAAAGAACTTTAATCTTAACTTTTCTTGAAAATTATCAAATTTTATTCTATTCCCCTTTTACGCACTTCTCCGTTACCACTTTTATTTATTTATTTATTTATTAAGAAATACTAATCAGCAAGTGTTAATACGCATTACTCAGCAAGTTCTTGATTCTTTACTGTTCTCTTTTATATCTAACTTTCAAATTTCTACCGTCCAAAAAGAAAAGAATAAGAAAAAAGAAAAGAAAAAAGAAAACTTTCAAGTTTGCAAAACGCGAAGTCAGCAAAATTTCGAAGTGAAAAAAGAAGGGGAAAAAAAAAAGGAGAGAAAATCGAATGTATAAATACGCATTCCTCAGCAAATACCTGAGTGCAGTCCGCCCACCACCACTCGCAGGTTTGTTAAGATTCGAAAGCAACTCCGCGAAAATCAGCAACTGCAGCTTTCCCGCTCGGACATTAACGCAAACACTTTGCCTGCACACAAATACTCAAAATTTATCCAGTAAACGCCGATCCCAAAGCCAACAGAGAGAAATGAAGTACGTCCTAGTCACCGGAGGAGTTGTCAGTGGGCTCGGCAAGGGCGTCACCGCTAGCAGCATCGGCGTCGTCCTTAAAGCTTGCGGCCTTCGCGTCACTTCCATCAAAATAGGTTCTCTTTCATAGTTTTTGATGGTATATGTGTTTTGATCTAGGAGCAGCAATCACTTTTAATGGCCTGATATGTGTTGCAGATCCTTACTTGAATACTGATGCTGGCACCATGTCTCCTTTTGAACATGGGGAGGTTTTTGTTCTTGACGATGGCGGAGAGGTTTAGTCCCTTTATATATTTTCTTAATTTTATTTACTTTTCTTTCAATTTTTGAAAGATGGTGTAATTATGTACAAGGGTATGATGGGTTCAAGGATATATTAAAAGGTTCATTATACCTTGGTTTCTGTTAAAAGGTTGATTTAGATTTGGGTAACTACGAGCGGTTTCTGGATGTGACACTAACAAAAGATAATAACATTACCACTGGGAAGATATTTCAGGTAATTGGATGAGTTTAGTATATATGCAAATGCATTAAATTCTGAGTTCTATAAGATATTCCATGACTGATAATTGATTTCCTTTTTCTGTTTGGTGTTTGATCAGTCTGTTATCGAGAAGGAAAGGAAAGGTGATTACCTTGGAAAGACCGTTCAGGTGATGGTTTGCAGCTTGCTAGATTGCTTCTTAATATGTTTAAATAACTGGTAACTGAATTGTTGCTATGCTTGAGGAAATTTCAGGTCGTTCCGCATATCACTGATGCGATTAAGGATTGGATTGAATCTGTTGCGGCCATTCCTGTAGATGGAAAGGAAGGCCCTGCGGATGTGTGTGTGATTGAGTTGGGAGGTACAGTAGGTAAGAGTGATGTGCAAGAGAGATACGGCTTTCACAGAGAATTTTATTGCTTTTGTGATTTCATGTGGTAGTAATAATTTATTCCTTTTTCTCTTGTAGGTGACATTGAATCTATGCCATTTATTGAGGCTTTGCGACAGCTGTCATTTTCAGTTGGTGGGTTATGCTGTTTTCTATATTTTGGAGGAGCATTGTTACTGTTCCTTATGTTTGTTTTATTCAAGGGCGAAGGATCCCTGTTCTCTAAATAGACTAGTAGTATTTGTCAAGCCGTAGGGTGGTGCATATTCTGATACAGGACCACCCAAGAAGATTGTAGGAAATTTGAATGAACCATTTAACTGTTTGGTCAGATACTTAACAAATTCTAGAAGCAAATTCATTTGAATTGTTCATAGTGTTATACTTCTGCTTATTTGCTTGACTGTATGCTGTGTGAACAATTAGCTGAATGCTGTACAAACAGTAGCATTGTGGTTCCATTTTGAAGCTACTACTATAAACTCATATTAGAGAGCTTCTCTCCTGTGTTTACATTTGTTGAGTTAATTCATTCATGAGTTACTGTAACAACCACTCATGTTAATTTCCCTATCTCTATGCAGGACAAGATAACTTTTGTCTCGTTCATGTGAGCCTGATACCTGTGCTAGGCGTTGTTGGAGAGCAAGTAATACCCCATATAATTTGTTTGAATTTTTTTCAATCTTCATTTGAACATATTCACCTAGAGGCCAAGTTGATAATATTAAACTGGAATGATCATAAGCCATATCTGTTTCATGTGTGCTTGCAGAAAACTAAGCCTACACAACATAGTGTTCGTGAATTGAGAGCATTAGGCTTGACTCCTCATCTATTGGCATGTCGCTCTGCTCAGGTACATTTGTCTTACCTGACATCTCTATGCTTTCAAGAGGACTGTTGACTGGAATAATTTTGGTTGAAGATCTTTGTGGTAGGTTTCACTGAAAGTTGCTTATGAACTTCATTTAAGAGAAATTAACAGCTTTCTCTTGCTGTTCTTGTCTATACTATTAAACTTTTGGAAGGTTTGTGAAAATGCTAAAGGTCGATCACATTTTATATGTATGGCTGTGCTTCTCTTGATGGTTGTATAGCAGCATCAGTTATTTTGTTGCCCTAATAGGTTGGACTCGATCTTTCTGATATTTTTGCATTGATCTGAGCAATGGAATTAGTGAGTTCCTTGTTTGTATCTTCTATTTTGCTTGAAATGAACCTGAAGCTGTGTTTTGATAGAGTTTTCATCAACTATTCTTTTCTAGATGAATTTTGAGGCATAGAGTGACTTTTAATAAATTACATTGCAGCCTTTATTGGAAAATACAAAGGAGAAACTTTCTCAGTTTTGCCATGTTCCGGTAACTTTTGATGAACTTTGCTCTGTATCCCTTCTAATAACAGCTGTTTTAAATTTGGGACATGTTATGTATCTCCTTGTTTCTTGGCAGGCTGCTAATATTCTCAATATTCACGATGTTCCTAACGTTTGGCATGTCCCTCTGTTACTTAGGGTGGGTTGAGTTGCATTTTTCATTTCTTCAGAAATTGAAAATTTCAGGTTTTTTTTTCAGTTCACTGTAGCTGTAATCTGCTTTGACTGTTTGACATGCTTTCTTTTTACAGAACCAAGATGCTCATGATGCAATTTTAAAACAGCTAAACTTACTCAGGTTAGTTGTATTTCAAGTTTCTCCATATTGAAGGCTTAATTAATGGACTCACAGTGTCCATCCATCTCTGCCTTCAACATTTTCAGGAATCTAATGGAACAAAAACATAGTTAAAAACTTGATTATAGCTGCTTGAAAAATTGTTTTAGTTGATTATCTCTTCGTTTCTCCCTTTCTACTAACTGGGACTTGGGGCCAAGGCATTGGTATTGGTTATATTGTAATTATACTGCAAGTACTTTGCCAGAAACAAACTGCATTGTGACTTTGATCAAGACACAAGTGCATGAATATTCATCATATTAGCTAACTTTTTGTAATGTTCCATTTCAGCATGGCGATGCCTCCTTCTTTACAAGATTGGACCATGATGGCTGAGACTTGTGATAACCTCACCAATTCTGTCGGTATTATCGTCAATAGCTTGTAATTCTCTTTGATTATTTCCTTCTTGTTCCTGAGGTGAGAAGATGCAAATGAGTGCAGGTGAGGATTGCGATGGTGGGGAAGTATGTTGGCCTAACAGATTCATACCTGTCTGTTGTTAAGGTGCATCACATTTTTGGTTCTTTAGTTTATGCTAGAAAGAAAGAGCACAGTAATAGATAGTCTGAAACTTTGCATGACTGCATAAGGCTGCATTATTCTGGCAACAAAAATGCTTTCAAAGCACATAACTTCATAGATGTGAGGTTAGGTGCCAATGCAGGACCATCTTCACTCTTGAACATCTACTGAAAGTTATGTTTATAATGGGTTTCCGTTGTCTGGATGACTTTTTGCAGGGAATGAATGACACATTAGTACATTTAACATTTGATGATAGTTAGTTTGTATGTGTTTGTTTCTTGGTGTGATTCACCACTTACTGTTATGCTTTGGTTTGCTTGCAGGCTCTCCTACATGCTTGCATCGCATGTTCGTTGAAGCCATCGATTGATTGGATTGCAGCTTCCGATCTTGAAGAAGACAGTGCAAAATCGGTATTGAATCCTTGCTAGTTGCATTTTGCAGGTTGTGTTGTGTATCTTTCTGAAAAATTCTCCCTCGTTAAAAATTTCTCTACCTTATACAGACACCAGAAGCTCATGCTGCTGCTTGGGAGACTTTAAAGGTAAGACTACAATTTTTATCTATTTATTTTCCTTTCCCATTATTGTTTTTGTTTTCCAACAGCTGGCCATCTCTCCTTGAAGACTTTTTGGTTTCCACCATCCTTCTGGTGTCAAGAACACATTTCGCATATAAAATTTTCCCTGACCATATGATTTTCCTTTTAGTTTCTTGATATTTGTTGTAGCTTAACATAATTTTGTTATAGTTTTTTGTTTTGTTTTCCACTACTGTTTTTGTCTAGTATTTTCACTATGACATCTGTGTGATTGCCACAGGATCATTAGCTTGATTCTTCTTTTGTTCTCCCTTTGACTACTTAAGCATTTGATTTCTGATCTTTGCAGATTTATTTATTTTTTTTTTCAAAATAAAGTAGACTGATAGCGATAGCTTGAGTTTAGCTTATACCAAATTCTGGTCTTCAAACTTTATCTCCTTAGTTGAATGAGTGTTGTGACTTCTATCCTTTATATATCTCATTGTTTGCCATTTGATTTTAACTTTGCGCTATTACCACTTGTGGCTTTAAAGAGCAACAAATTTATTCTTGAAAGGGAGAAGGGAAAAAGAGAGGGTGAGTTGGTTAAAAATGTAAGGTTTTTATCTCCATCTTTTGAACTCTTTTTTTTTAAAAAAATCATAATTTGCAGAATGCAGAATGTATCTTAGTTCCTGGTGGATTTGGAGATCGTGGGGTGAGTGGAATGATATTGGCTGCCAAGTATGCTAGAGAGAACAAGATTCCTTACCTTGGGATTTGCTTGGGCATGCAGATTGCGGTTATTGAGTTTGCTCGATCTGTAAGTGACTTCACTTTGAACTTCATTTCTTATGTTACCATTTTTTCTTGACATGAGGTATCCTATGACCATATGCCCCTTCTCTGACAATTATTTTAGGTTTTGGGTTTGGAAAGGGCAGATAGCAATGAGTTTGATACTAATACACCTGATCCTGTTGTAATTTTCATGCCTGAGGTATGTATTTACTGTAACCTTGTTAATCTGTATTTACAGTTTTTTTGTAATTATGGTTCATTTATCATTTGAAATTAAATGCAGGGTTCAAGGACACATATGGGAAGCACAATGAGACTAGGATCACGAAGGACGCTATTCCAGACCCCCGATTGTATTACTGCAAAACTGTATGTGATTTTTTTTATTAGTCTTCAATTTCATAAGTAAATGAAGCCACCCTGACCCTGTGAGTGAAGAATAAAGTTAATATTTCCTTTGGCTGTCATTTACCTCTGCTATGGATGCTGGCACCATAGATCAAATTTCAGCTAACATGACTATATCCATTCAGTAGGCACAAGTCCATAGCCCTTCCAGTGTAATATTAGAGCTGGTTAGAGGTAATGGACTGTGTGAACTACCTAAACCTTCTGTCAGGGGAGACACAAAGAAATTGATAGTATTTTGATGTTTGTCCACTTACATGCCTATTTTAATCGTTTGTAATTGCTAGGTGCGGTAATCCACAGTATGTAGAGGAACGACATCGGCATAGATATGAGGTGAGTTGCAAGTTTAGTAAAATGGAAAAAATAACTGTACAAAACAGTCATGATGTCTTTGACATTACATGATGCAGGTAAATCCAGAGGTAATTGAAATTCTAGAGGAAAATGGCTTAAAGTTTGTTGGGAAGGATGAAACAGGAAAACGGATGGAGGTCTGTTTTCTACCCACTTGGTTTTTTCTTAGTTGAAGTGTTTCCCTGGTTATAGTCAATCCGTATCTGATGTGCTCAAGCTCACTGGGCTTGATTGCTTGTTACCTGCCATAGTTACTCATCAAGAGAGACAACTAAACTTTGTGCTGAATTTGCAAACTCATTTGTTTTCTCATGTTCTGCAGATTTTAGAGCTTCCAAGTCATCCTTTTTATGTAGGTGTGCAATTTCACCCAGAGTTCAAATCACGACCCAGAAGGCCATCTGCTCTATTTTTAGGTATTGTTAATTGAATTGTTCTCATTTAGACCCTTTGAATATAACCAGTAGGCATCAAGGGAATTCGTATTTGGCGTATGCAAAAAGGACGGTAAAGGTGCAAAGGCTTTCATGTAGGAGAGCATTTAGGGGTTGTATAACTAATTTCCAATTATTTGAGTGATGCGTATAGTGTGACTATATTTTGGTGGTCAAACGTTGAATATTATATTTTAAAAAAAAATGTATCTGGGAAAGTGTTCTTGAATCTTGATAGAAAACGTTCAGAATTTGCTTTCTGCAATTTTCCTGTTTGAGAAAATGTTTTGCAACCTAATTTTTTTTTTTCAACTAGTGTTTTGGCATATTATAACAATGGCATTTGCGATGTAGGTTTTATATTGGCAGCAACAGGAAAGTTGGAAGCGCATCTCAAGAGTCACCAAAATGGAATCTAATTTTGCATGATACTTCCAAGTCATGCTCACAAGGGAGACCATTTTTTAGAGGAGGATTAAGAAAATTCTCATAGTAACTTACTGAATAGGAGTTCCTTAGTGGCTTTGGATTTGTTCCCTTCGCTGGCTGCAGATAGGCATAGTTTGTTGGCAGCACCAGATCTATTTTGATTCATGCGAGTAATACTATACACAGCTGCATGCTTGCAACCTTGTGATTTGTAGATTCTAATATAGCAGGGGCATCAAATAAATGGTTTCTGCTCCTTTCAGCACTAGAATAGTTTACGTAATAGTTTTCTCGTAACAGTTTTTGTGGTTTTTATATTTCATAATTCCATAGGGAATTACTTTGAGTGTCGTGGAATTAATACAAACCCAACTCAATGGGTTTATTAGTAGTACTCCCTCATGCTGCTGATAGTGCTTGGACTAGTCTGGGGTGGATGTCGTTTGTTTTAACCCAATGGAAGCGAATTCCATTAAGCTTCGCATGTGTCCAATAGCGATGCTTCAATAAACCCAAAGTGATGGATCTACCAGCACAGCCGCTGATAATGCAGGGACTATTTTGGTGAGGCGGTAGCCTGCATAGGCTAGTTTTGGGGCTTATTGCACATGAAAAAAAAAAAAAAATCCTTTGGGCAAATTTGCTTTCAGAATTTTATTGAACAGATCTAGGCCTTGCATTCTTTGGGGAAAATCCAAAGTTATATATGCTAATATATCCTGAAGCATGGTTGAATAAAGTTGTGCTGTCGATGCCTATTTTTCTGCTGCTCGGGAAATTGACTAATATATTTAGAAGTATTAAAATGTTGCCTTGTTAGCAGAACTTATAATTACGTCAAATGTTAACGCAATACAGTGGAAACTTGTTTGCTGGATTCCAAATTTCCAATTATTAGGCAACGCTACAGCAGTGATTTTTTTCAATTATTGTCAACCGGACGTTCCCTTCGAAAAAAGAAAAATTGCAAGAACAGATTTTTTGCTTTTCAAAAATAAAATGTACCCATAATGATACAAGTATAAATTGCAAGATTGTTCAAACTCGATGGAAGTTTCCGGTATTTACACAGCCGCAACGCCTCTTTTACAAAAAGAAAAATTCCTGAAACTGGCAACCAAAAACTTCGAAGCAAATTATTCAGAAGACAGTGAATGTCTGAGATGATCAACTTGTGCCTTTTTTCGGTGTCTCATGGCACTTTAGATACGAGATCTGCCTTTGAAGCCTCATTTGCTGACGGAACTTAGCTATGAACTCCTCAGCTCTCATATCAATCCCTTTTTCCTCTGCTGGGATTTTTTCCTCACACGTCTCGTATTCATCTTCGTATTCTTCTTCATCTCCACTTTTTAATAAGAAACTCCTCCTCATTTCATCATAAGATTCATAAACAGATCCATCTTGATAAATATCATCTTCCCTAATTACTTCATCATCAAAATCGTAGTCAAAGTCAACCTGTGGGGTTATGCAAGGTATGCTGAATCGCATGGAAGCTGGGCGGTGCATCTTGACATGGAAAATAGGGGTCTCGTCGAAGGAGAGTTCGCGCTCTCCATAATGCAATCGGTCGCGACGAGAATTGTGTCCTAGGCTTTTAAGAAACTTAGGCACAACACGCAGCTCCATCATTAAACGTCTCTTGAAAACACCACCTTTTCTTGCCCACAACAATGCTAGACGCAGGATGTTCCATGCTCTATTAGCAACATCGCTACCACTTTTCTGCGGCATTTTCTAAATTGTTATAATAGCTTGCAACTAGTTCAGCAGCTTCAACAGATCAGTAGGAGTTAGCACTGGCAGTAGCAACAGGTAGCCAAATTGTATGTGAAAAGAGATTGAGAGGTTGAAAGTTTCGTTGGCTAGTGAAAATTTAAACACTAGAAAGAAATGCTTCAGCTTGAGACTTTTTGTTGCTGAGGGAAAATGGTGCTGATCGCTTATATATATGTGTGTGTGCGTGCGTGTGTGGAGTTTTGATACGCCGTGTTCTGCCTGAAAGAGAGAGAGAGAGAGACAGAGTTGTACATCTTTCTTTGAAAGCCAAACGAAAGTTGGCGTGACATGTTACCTGTGAGCGGTGGGGTCTTGTGGCGAACACGGTTGTACGCGGGGTATTCAAGCTGGAGTTTCGGTTAATTCCAAGAGTAACCCTTGTCGTTGTCCTAACATACAGCAACCTTCATGTGCCCCTGTACTTTGGGGAGTGCTTGGAATTTGAAATATTGGTGGAAAAAATGTTACATTTGATGAATTTTCTTTTTTGATTTTAACAAATACGGTGTTCTCAAACTAATTTTCTCATATTAAGATTTCAATCAAGCTTTAAACAAATCATTTATATTTAATCTAATACATTCATCATAATTTTTTCTCGCCGTCTTTTTTAAAAATATTTAAAAGTGTAAATTGTAATATGAGAAATAAATATACTAGAATAATTCTCTCTTTGAATGTTGTAACGAATGTTACAAATACAGTTTAAAAAGAAAAAGAATGTTACAAATCGCCAATTGACAATTTGTTGGTGATGTAATATTGGTGTTTTTCTAGATAACTTTTTACTAACAATAATGGTTAGACTTCTCAATGAAAGGAGATTTTGCTCATTTGGTAAAATATATGGTAAAACGAAGCAGATGAATATTAAAGGGTCCCATCTAACATGAAATCAGCACATTTTCTGGTTGAGATGTTTTTGTCTTTCTTGTGAATTAAGAACGGAAATCTCTCGCAAAAGGTTAACGCCTTCGTACAAGTAAACGCTTTGCCTTTGTTTTTTTTTAAAAAAAATCTTAATTAACTAGTATGAGAGGGAGATTTTGATTTGTTTTTTGAATGGGACCGTGTTTTTGAGCTGTACTAATCATTTGATATCGTTTTCTATTGTGTTAATATTTATTAATCACCGTGGAATATACAATGATATTGTTAAAATGCTGAAAAGTATTCTTCTTATATATATATATATATAGCAATAACAACAATTTTTTTATAATAAAAAATAATAATCTTGTAATAATCAACCGGATTTCCAAGTCACCAACATGATCAAGTCTATGAAATTAAAAAAACTACGTATGTAGAGAGAATATATACATGGTGCATGAACTGACTTGGATACCACTAAGATATATGCTAGCACTCTTGCTTTGTAGGGGCATCGAATGGGTTGAATTTGAGCAAATTTAGCACAAGGGTTCTAACCATTGAACCACATCCTATTTCATTCATTGATTGAACAAAATATATAGAATAATTTTGTTTGATGGGTTTTCGTTGCTGCTCTAATTGGTTGATTGATATAGTTTGGAGTCTTATTTTCAGTTTTGTTTGCTTGGATAATCACAGTTTTTGTTCTTACTATCGTTTTGACGATTCCTGTAAAAGTTGCATAGAATATAGGAATCAAGATAGGTTTTGTAACAATAGTAATTGTTGTGATACTTAATTTTGATCGACTGATTTCATTTAGAACTAATCCAGTCCTTTCTTCTGGTGTTATAGTTCTAATTTTCTAAGCCATATTCCTAATGAATATGTCTTCTTCTTTTTTCATCCTTGATTAATTCACTATAATATGATCCCATTCATCAATAATAATAATAATAATTCAAGCTACTTATAAAAAAAATCAGTAAATTCTTCTGGGTTAGTATTTGGCATTTTGAACTAAATACTGGGTTAATTAGACAAGACATCGTGCATTTTTTAAATGACATTCAACTGTTGCATTAATTCAACCATTTTTTCATCGTTTTTCATATTAATATTGCCCTAAAGCCCAAGCATAAGTAGTTGAGATTTTGGCAACAATTAAGCTGACAATGTTGGTGTCCTGTTGGCTGTCACAGAGGGATCATTAATTAATATAATATGTAGCTGCTTTCTAAAGTTCCATATTTTAGATCTATGTTTCACATGGTTCGACCAGGATATCTAGGACTAACAAATATCGGAGTAGCAGGTAGCAAGCAACAATTTAATGTTTTTTTTTAATCGAGTCAACCAACGAACCACAAGGGAAGTTAGGTTTGAAATTTGCATTTCTTTGATAACGGCCACTGCATTTTAGCTAGCAGACGCTGAACTGTTATCACAAGGAAGCTGTATGGGTTCACGATAATCACCCAGTTGAACTGTTGGGGAGAACAGGCTGGCTGGCTGGCTGCACCATGGTGGATGATGGACCTTTGGTTAATTATTCATCGCTAATGGGCCCTACAAAAACCAACCCTCACCTAAAAGCAAAACAAACAAACAAAAAAAAGAGAGAGTGACTTGCAATTTGGAAAATAGGAAGTAACACCTCCTTGTCAATGTGTGGTTCCTACATTACGACTCGTCACATCGTTCCTGCCAGAAGCAAACTGGGCACTTTGTTGAGATGAAAACTCTAAGAATTCACATGTAAACAGCATAGGATCCTAAGTCAAGCAACCCAGCTGGCAGCTACCACTCTTCAATTTTCAGACAAATTGTGAATAGACAGACATCGTTTCATATGGACTTTTAAATACAAAGTTAACTAGTCGTCGACCGGGATCCATTTATTTAATTTTGGATAAAATACGAAAAATACCTTATCGTTGGGTGATGGGAAAATTTTACACTCCTATTTTTTCCAAAATTACATTTCATACCTATTAATTTTCATAGTTATTTTTTAAACCATTTTCTATTGTAATTTCGTTGTCAATGTCAAATTTTTAGTTTAAAAAAAAATTAAATTATTACAAGTTTATCATTAAAACAGTCAATGTATTCTGAAAACATTTCGATTTAAAAACAATAATTTAAAAATAATCAAATTCAACATAAAATTGAAAATCTAATAAAAAAGATCAAAAACTCAATTCAAAACATCAAAATCTAATAATAAAACACCCAAAAATCAATTCAAACAACGAAATCCATATCAAAACACTGAAAACTTTAATCTAAAACATTCAATATTTCAAACATATCTAAACAATAAATGATTCCGTTGCTAAGTAACATGCCTTCCAGTTAAACAATAAAAAAAAAGGAGACAAAAAAAAAGCCTCCAAGTAATCTTTATTAGCTCGACATCATAAGATCACCAGTATAGCGATCGTCAAACAAATATGTTCTTTCATCAAAATTTACAATGAAATTTTATTCACTACAGTCAACACAAATTCAGATCTGTTGCAAAGCATAAACCTTTCCAAAAATAAACCCATAAAATATAACCACCAATTATTTGCATGTACTTCTTCACATTCCTACCAAGGGATCAACAAAAACAAAAGAACGCGCTAGCTATTGCGAGCCATTATTTATTTATTTATTTTAAACAAGAATAAAACAACTCAAATTCCACCATGCTACTGAGCAAGTTCTCATTCTATAAATCCAAGAATTTTTTACACAACAGATTTCAAGAACTGGATCTTTCAATAAACTAACTTTCACATTCTCAAAGCCATGCTTCTTTTGCTCATCATTTCTCTCCCTTTATACTCCTTTCCTGTTTTCTTCATGGTTTAAAAACCGAAAGCAAAAAATATTGTCTCCAACACACGCTCAAAATGTGAAAACAAATCAAACAGAACCGAGAAACATGCTCCAAATTTAACAAAGCATGCATTTAGCCAATCCTTTTCTTTTCTTTTCTTTTTTGTTAAACATAACAAATCTGCTGATATAAAAAGGTAATCTTATATTGCTGGAAATTAAGGATTTTTAAGTATCGAAAGCCATCAGCAATAACGACAATATTAGAATGAATAACACCAAGATCAAAAGACTTTGAAATAGACTGAAACAAGTAAATTCAATCAATCTAGAAAAAAAAAAAAAAACTTACTTGAAATTTCGGCAGCTTAAATAAGTTGAATGAGGCACTCTAATTAGCAAATAAAAACTTAGATCCTTCTTGATTAAACCTTGATTTTTAATAGGTTTCGCTTGAAACAATAAACTATAGCATAAACAATCAAATTCTACTAAAAAAATCGGCATTTAAAAATTGGTTATTTTTTGAATTTCAAATTAACAGCTTTATAAACCATATGTTTTGCTCGAATCAACCAATTAAAGGATAAACAAGTTGTTTCAAACCAAAAAATAAACATTGAAAAAATTAGGGTTTTTTAGGATTTTTAATTATAGATGAAAAAGCTTTCAAAACACCCAAAATCTTTATGGATTTTGCTCGAGATTAGATAATGGTTATGTTAATTCTAAGGTTTTATGGATTAAAAATATTTGTGTTTTAAAAAAATTAAAATTAAGTTATGCTATTTGCTATTCATATATTTGGTTTTGGAATCCGATTGTCCTCCAATAGTCTTCAATTCCACCAAAAACAACCAAAGTATTTTTCGTAGTATACCCTTTAGTTTTTGTTATGATTTTCATTTTTATGATATTGTTAAAATCGACACCAAATACTTTAATATAATTAGAATTATGATATTGTAAACTAATGGACGTCTTTTGTTTGTTGTTGGAAAACCTTCTTGAGAATTTTACCAATATCTTTATTAAGAATTGCATCAAATTGATTTGTAGCTTTTGATGCTAATGAGATCTTTTTTTTTTTATTATTATGGCAGTGTAAAAGACTATTTTTATAAAATCGCAATAATAAGCGAGTTAGTTGAAATCAACGTGAAAGATTTTGTGTACTAGTACTTGTTTGTTGGCATTTCCTTCTTTGTAACTATAAGTTTTGTTTGATCGTCAACTTATTTTATAAAATC